GTGCTTACATAGTCCCTAGAGATAATTCCAAAATAGCTTATCAGAAAGCCCTGGCTTTCTGGAACCACATTTCAATAAGACAACTGAGGTGATGACTCAAGGAAATCTGGGTTCAGGATCCACTGAACTACCATTAGCAGCATGACCTGAGTAGCACTTGACAACCCCCTCCTGTGCCTCAGTTTCCTTACCTATAAAATGGGGGTGATGATCCCAGAGATTCACAGGGTTGTCTTGAAAATAAGTTAAGCTCTTGGGTGTGCAGACAGTAAAAACATCTTGAGAAAGGTCTTTAAGACTTATACAGAGGTAAGAAGTTATTAATAGCTTCATTATTATTCTTACCCAGAATGCCCAGGGAAAAGCAGCATGTGGCAGCCCCAGCCCCCGCACCCCACCTTTCCATACTATTTCTGTACCTGGAAAGCAGGTTCTTGGAGTGTTAGTCCTCGGTTTGCCACTGTGTGGGAAAGAGGGTGAATGTCTGGAAGAGGGGCCTCCCTGGGCTCTGCAGCCCACCCCTGCCTGGACTGCTCACCAAACCCTCCACCTGAGAAAGCCTGGCTGAGAGGAGGACCCCAACCAGCTTCAAGGTTGTGGGTGGCAGCTTATCTCTGTCATTTTACTTTCTGCTCTGTGGTGCTGGTGAGGTGCTGAGGTGACCCCGCCCCCTTGGGCAGGTCTGGACAAGTCTCATCATTTGGGCTAAATCCTTAAGGCCACCTGTCACCCCGGGGACCTCTGACCCATCTTCATTAGGCCTGGCTGCACGGGAAGGCAGCATTTATTCATCTTCTGCATTTCTGAGGTAGAGTCTTCCTATCTGTCTTCCCACAGCTCCACCACACCCAAAGTTTCCAGCCCTAGAGATAGAGAGCTTTAGCAGAGTGGAAATAAAGCTAGCTTTTCTGCTCTCCCACACCACTCACTTCCCTGCCATGCAAGAGGAGCAGCAAAGAGAAGCAGGTGGCCATACATGAGAGGAGAACCCGCTGGCTAGGGTTGATGGCACTCCTGGGCTCCACCATGTCCTGCAGGCAACACCCAGGTTCTGTGAACCCACAGAATCCCCCAGGGTGGAGGCTCTTTGGGCCAGGCTAGGATCTAACCTGTGCATGGCAGCCTGGGGGAGGAACAGATCTGTAGCAGAGGGGTCTCCACAGACTGTGGGGATAACCAAAGCCCAGGTCAGCAAGTAGAAACCGCAGAAGAGAAAAATCGAGGAAACTATCTCTGAGGCCCAGAGAAGGCTGGGATCTGGAGGGAGGGGTCAGACTGAGGCCCCACCAGCCCTCTCCTGGTCTCCAGCCTGCAGGAGGAAGACCAACAGCAGCTATTGCCAGTGCCATGGGCATGTTCCATTATCAGAGAAACGCAACCTGGTTGCTTTGAGGAGGTCCCCTAGGCTCCCCCTCCCCACTTGGCCAGCCAGGTCTGCTGCTGCTGACTTAAAACGCTGCCCTCAATTCTATCTTTAGCTCTGGCTCCTGGAAGCCTGAGTGACAGGCAGGGTGGGGGCCTGTGCTGGGGTGGGAAAAATTTGCAGCTACCAGGTTTGCTGAGAAGATGGTGCTGACTGCAAGGAGCGGGGCCTATGCAATATTTATTGCTCCATCTGAGGCCAGGGATGTGGCTGGGACAGAGCTCCATCCACACTGGCTGGCCAGGGAGGGATGGATGGATGGATAGATGGATGCATCCCTGCATGGACGGAGCAGAGGCCCTGAGGAGAGAAAGACAGCAAAACCAGCTGGTCCATAGACCGGGAAGACATGGACCTTGAAGGAACTCTATGACTTTGGGCAAGTGACTTCCCCTATTGGCCTCCCTTTATTTATATGAGGGGACTAGGAAATTGGTTTTCATTTACCTCCATGGATCACCACTACCTCCACTATCACCTGTCATCTCTGACACCCTGTAATTAAGTAAAGGAAAGGAGGTGTGGGAGTGACAGGGCCCTCCTACTTAATCCTTCAAGGCTGAACTTCCTGAAAAGAATTGTGTTAAAGTGTCCTGTGGCTCCAGAGTGTGATAACCACTGGACTAAATGATTGTACAAGATCCTTTGGAAGCTGTGGCTTGCTCATGCCCTGGGAAGGTCTGGGGATTGAGGCTGGCTCCAGGGGCAACTCTGTGTGGAGGTTGAACCCAAGGCCTCTGCACTGAGCTACATCTCAGGCCTTCCTTATTTTAATTTTTAAATTTTGAGACAGGGTCTCACTAAATTGTTCAGGCTTGGCTTGAATTTGTGACTTTCCTGTCTCCCCTGTCCAGAGTGCTGGCACACTCACCAGGGCCAGCTCAGGAGCAACTCTTGAGTTAAGACACATTTTACCAGACACAGGAATAGTGAAGTCCTCTGGATTATACACCCTCCCATCCCCAAAAAACTCTCATACTCATTAGGAAAGAATTCCGTGAGCCATGTTGCCTGTAGAGTATTTCCAGATTATTGGCTTTGGATGTAGAGAGGAGTTTGTATAGTAAGTACACAGTTACCTCATATTTTTCTCTTTTCTTTTATTTTATATCTTTGCGGTGCTGGAGACTGAACTGAGAACCGTATGCATGCTAGGTAAGCACTCTATCACTAAGCTAAATCCTCTGTCACTATTTCCTTTTAGAAACTTGGGCAACACACGCCCTGTCCCCTCCAGAGTAAGGGTCCTGGTTGGGGGTGGGGGGGAGGAGTCAGGTTTTACAGTGCCGGCTGAGCAGCCTATCCCATCCCTGAGCAGACCTCAGCTTAGCTCCAGGCTCCATTTCAGCCTCAAGCGAGGGGCAGCAGCTCAGGTTGCAATCCGCCATTACCTACCCCACCTCCAATCTCTCAGGGAGGCTCAGTTCTTCAAGAGCATCCAGACTTGGTGGAAAGAAATTGCCTTTTGCAGCAGGTGGCAAGAATAGCCTGTCAACTTCCTCTCATCAGGACTGATATGAATATCCCTCCTCTGAACAATGAAGCGCCAGCAAGCTCCCACGCAGCCAATTACTTTTTTCCAACAAGGATGAGCGGAAGTACCCAAGGGAGGACAAGTGGAGGTCTAGGGGAAGCCCTTGCAGGGCAGGAGGAGGAGTGGAAGGGGTTGACCCAACCTCCCCCAGACCACAGGGGAGACCCCTGTGCTACTGTGGGGTCTGGAGGAGGCTTGAGAATGCAGAGTCAGGATGCACTTCACATGGGGAGGACCTCAGGGCACAGCAGTGTCCAGTAGCCCAGGCTCCAGGGAAGCTGGGTGTCTACTTGGAGGCACAAATGAGTGAAGCTCTGGGAATGAGGTCCTTGGCAAGTCAGGGAGGTGCCCGGTGAGCTCCTCATCCTTCTTCTTGGAATGGCCAGGGAAGGGAATGGGCTTGCAGGGACCTTGGGGGAGCTACTTTACCCACTGTGCCTCCATCCCCTCCTTCCCTGTTTACATGTGCATCACCTCTGCTCCTATCTACTTCACTGGGATGTTCCGATCAGTCAGATTGCAGATGTGAAGGCATTTCTTTCTGGATAGTGGCACTGTTTCACAGATGTTAGCCAGTGGCTGGAGCCCAGGTGAGGCTGGTTACTAGTGTCTGCTTCTTCTAGGCTCCTGATCTGACAGACTTGTGCCACTAAGGCCTATGGTGTCCTGCACTTTCTCCTGGGGATTTCCCTTCACTTTCCTACCTGAAAAATCTTTCCTGACCCCTCTTTTCCCACAGCCTATGTCTTAGTTCAGCCTCTAGCTCTAAGCTCCTGATATGGCAAGCGCTCCTGTTTGGACACTGCGTGACAGCCTCTGCTCGTCCCACACGCTGCGCTTGGGCTTCTACTTGGAAACCTGCTGTGGGTCCAGATGTGTATCACACTGTGCCCAATTTACTCGCTGGGGACTACCTGGGCCCACTGCCTGCTCACTGACCTGGTACTCGGACATTGACATGGCTCATTTTGTAGACAATCAGCTTTCTACTTCCTGCTGCCTGCAAACCACCCCCTCATCCCCCGACCTGCAATGCCCTCCCTTTTCTGTCTGCCAAACCAAGTACGTGCCCTTTGAATAATAGGTTAACTGTGTCCTCCCTTCCTGGAAACCTTCCCCAAATAACCTTGCAGCAGTCTTGTCCTGTTCACTGCAACAATTTGCAGATTATAGCAGGATTGGCCTCTCCATAGGATGTGCATATATGAGGGGTGCATCTACAGGTTCTGTTAGGTCCCTCGAGGGTCAGCCTTCCCAAAGGGACCACACCCACGATTCCCATGGTGAGACAGGCCCAGGCTGCTGTCTGACAGGCAGCTTTGTATTGGAGGAAGTTGACCAGGGCAGGTTTGGTATTTGAAAGATTGCAGGACAGGATCCATTGCAGAGGATCAGGTACAGCGACCTTTGTGACTGCAAGGCTTCCCAGAGCCCTGTCATGAAAATGGGGCCACGTGGTGCCTTCTACTCTGTAACACTCCTCACTGTAAGCTGTGGTGGGTGAGATACAGACACAGCCACTTGTCACCTGAAGGATGACTTGGATTGCGTGGGCTCCCTGCACACTGCTGAGAGACGAGAGGTCAGGGGCTATTTGGGTGCACAGATTCAGCTCAGCACAGAGTCCTGGGCTCTCGTGTGTTTTTAAATTCAGCAATGGCAACAGCAGTGTGTTTTTGCTGTACTGTCTGCCAATTTAACTCAGATTAACCTTTAGGTGCTTTCCAGTCTGTGATCTCTTTGTTTATTATTCTGGTTAGAAAATGAAAAGCTCTCCCTGCCAGCAATTAATTTACCAAAATAAACAAGATTTCTGCTTTTCGTGACAAAGACAGTCCTTGAATGCCAATCTGAGAGCTGCCAGATTGCAATTTCAAGAGGGTGCAGTCAGCGTGGTTACAACTCACAGGTGATTTATTATGGAGATTATGAGAAAAGGAGAAAACACAGTCAAGAGGGAGTGAAATATTGTCCCGCAGTTCTTGTACTCATCTCTAACTTTTCTGGCAACAAATCTCCATGCTTTTGGCTCACTACCTTCCCTTTATTCATTGCAGATTTTCTTTTTTAAAAGCTCTGTCCTATTTGGCTTATTCCCAGCTCTTTCCCGACATGGGTGCAGCCGGGTTCTCTGTTGTCAAATCACCTCACTGCCCATTGGCATCTCGCAAGTATTTGCCATCCAGAACCCTTGGCTGCTGCATTTAGCCAATGGGTCTGGTTCTTTCATCTGAGAGCTTCTGGGGTTGTTGATTGGATATACTCAAGAAACACTATCCAGACTGCAGATTCAGCTTCATTCCCCACCCCCTCCTCCGGGCACTGTGAGCGTGGGACAGGACGGAGCAGAGGACGGACGGGTGTGGTCTGAGAGGCAGAATTGCCAAGAAGTTTAGGAGGATGAGAAGGATATGCTCAGGTAAGCAGAGCACGGAGCAGAGGATTTGGGGAGGAGGCTCGGAGGCACCAGCCAGAGACCATTAGAGATCACACCGGGGGAGTTAAAAGCAGCACCGATTAAGCCTGAGAACATTGTCTTCTTCCTCTCAGCCCTGCTGGGAATCAGCCCCTGTGATCACAGTGTGATCACGACTGCTGCTCTCCCAGGCTCAGCACGCCACTTGCTAGGTAGATAAGGAGGGAAGGAGGATCCACCAGTCCTCCCCTCATACACCCACTCTTTATACACCCACTCTTCCAACTCCCCACGTCCTCGGGCCTGCTTCTGAGGAAGCTGCTTCTTGCAGTTTGGCAATGTGCAAGGTAATCTTTCCTGGGATTTTATCGACTCGACTGTGACTCCCATCCCAAGGATTCCTGGGGTGGACCTGTGAGGCATGGTTTCAAGGTGCCTAGCGTTAAACACAGACACAGCCCCAGCTTCAAGGCACTCACACTGCTCCTGGAGTCCAGATAAACACAGATAACAATGGAAACAGGCAGAGGAGCTCGAGAATCATTTCCCTAGAGGCAACCACAGGAAGTTACACGCTCTCTGTTCCATCTGCTTTCTTCTCACTCTTGTTACCCCTGTGACGTCACCCTAGAGTTCTGTCCCACAGTAGTCTGGTCACAGCACCCCATGGAGTCTTTTTATCTGGATCCTTCCACAGAAGTGGCCCCAAGTCTCTCTGGAGAAGTGGCTATGAAAAGGACTCTTGATAATAAGATCTAATTAACAATTTACAGTCCAGATTTAACAAGCTGTTTGCTTGTGGATTCAATTCAACAATGAATGTCCAGTTACTGAGCCCTCAGGGCATTGTGCTAGGTTTTAGAGGGAGTGGTTCATGGTACAAAATGAATGAGTTTTGCTAAGAAAGAAGCTGTCCACCATGTGTTTTTTCTCTTTTTCCTTCTCTCTCATTCCCTTCTCCTCCTCCTTTCCCCTTCTTTCTCTTTCCCCTCCTCCTCCTTCTCCTCCTCTTCCTGCAGTGCTGGGGTAAGTGCCACAGTCTTGGGCATGTTAGGCAAGCAATCTACCCCTGAGCTATGCCCCTAACCCGATGCATTTCTAATATTTGATTTTCAAAATGAGTTCATGAGGAATCCTTTGGAATAAAATAATTTTTCCCTCATGTATTTTGAGACAAGGTCTTGCAGTGTAGTTCAAGCTGTCATTCTGGACTTTTTTGCGGGGGGGGGGGGATACAAGAAATTGAACTCAAGACCTCACACTTGCCAGGCGGGCACTGTGCCACTGAGCTATTTACCCAGTCCTTCACCTTGACCTCATTATGCAGCGCAGGCTGGCTTCAAACTAGTAGCAATCTCTCTGCCTCAGCCTTTTGAATGCTGGAATTACAGGCATGCACCACCACGCCTGGTCTGACATACACAGTAGTACTTTTTTTTTTTTTTTTTTTTTGTCTTTTTCGTTTTTTATCGGTACCGGGGACCGAACTCACGACTGCCTGCTTGCAAGGCAGGTGCTTATGCCGCTGAGCTAAATCCCCAGCCCCTACACAGTAGTACTTTAGTGTACTGGTAATTCTTATACTTTTTCCTTGAACTATTAGTCATGGCACTAATGTTTTTAAAATCTCATGTGAGTTTTTATAATCATGGGAAATTTATATTCCATTCTCTATGAGTATTATTTTAAAATGAAATGAGCCTCTTTTTCCCAACTCCTCACTGCTCAAAATCTAGTTATACTATTCAACTGGCAAGAAAATGGGTTGATTTGATTAGTCTTTTGTATTCCTGAAACATTATCTTATAACCAAGGGGCATAAGTAGCCCTGAGCATCAGTTACAAGTATTCAGTTCCTATTTGCTGTGACGTATAATAGCAGACTCCTGTAATCCCAGCACTTGGGAGGCTGAGGCAGGAGGATCGCCTGGATTTGGGGAGTTTGAAGCCAGCCTGTGTTACGCAGCAAGACTTTGTCTCTAAATAAACAAACAAGCAAACAAACATTCCTATTTACTGGTTTCAAGACCTAGGGAAGTATCGGGTCGCAGGGCTCCAGCATCCTTCCTGTTCTCAGACTGTTTCCTAGGGTTGACCTTGCCTGGCAGCTTTGGTCTTTTCTTACCTTGACCTCCCACTTCTTCAAACCTTCTGGTCTGGGATCCCCCTCCCCAGCTTACTTTCATTCTGTGCCTGTCTCAGGAGAGGTTGCCTGTTTGGTTCTGATTCTTGTTTTTGTGTTTGGTAAATTGTCTTTAGTTGGGGACACACAATCACTTCTTCCCAGGGCAAACAGTGACATAAAGACCAACTGTTCTATTAAGTTTCCAAGAAATTTTTAATGGTTACCAGCTCCTTGAGATATAGGAGAAATACGACTCCTGACCTGTCAGATGTCAAATGTGAACGGTTCGTGGTCCCACAATATATGGGAACAGAGTCACGAATCAAAGGAAGAAGCTAGGAGGGTTTTGTTGGAAAAAGGAGAGAAGAATGGCTCCTGGGTTCCAAATGGGGTGGCCACCGAGGCCCTTTGTCAGGGTTAATTTATACAGCACTCACAATGTGGGTCAAACTACAACCAACCTATAGGAATACAAGTGTAGCTGCGTAGCTAATAGCGATACAATAGGGAAATGAGTCATGTAGCAAAGCTACGTGGGAAGAACAAAGGCCTCTTTGGGAAGGGAGGATTTGGACACAGTGGTCACCCATGTGTGTGACTGATGCCTATCTGGACTTACTGGACCACTGGTGCTAATTATAGTATAATTTTAAGTCACTGCTTATCCCTTAAAGAGGCAAGCTGGCCTGGCCATGCATCTTCATCTTGAGGCCTGACCTTCTTTCTGACCGTCATTCTGATGTCTTTAATTTTTGTGCTGACTGCCTTGAGGGTCCAGGCCCTCTCTGACTATATGTTAATATCTAAATAACTTAGCTTCCTGCAATACGTGGACTAGGAGCTGTGCTAGACACTGTGGGTGGAATGAACAGAATAGAAACGTTGTCCATCCCGATGGTGCTTCCAAGTTCCTGGGAAAGACACAATCCAGTACTCATACCATGATGGGAACTTCAATTGGCCATGATAGAGAGAGACCAGGGTATCAGGTCAAGGATCTGCTCCAGGGAGGTGGCAAGGAAAGGCTTTCCCGAGGAAGAAACATTTCAGCAGCAATTCAGAGGAGGAGTAGAAGTTAGCTAAACAAAAGGGTGACAGTGAGGGCAGCCCCGACAGATGGAACAGCATGTGTGAGAGTCCCGTGGCTGGACAGATGAGAACTGTTAACTTGAGGAAAGGAGAGGAGCCTGGTGTGGTTGTAGTATAGACAGAGAAAGGAGAAGTGGTGTAACCACGTGCCAGAGAGAAAATGGGGACCAGAATGCTAAAATTCAAATAGATAATTGTAACTGGGTATACAGCCAGGGTGTAACTAAATATGCTTACTAAATTCCAGAACAAATTAAATAGGATGAACTTGAAGTAAAAACAAATTAGGCAAGACTAGCAGTTTAGCAAGACGTCAATTCACTTCGATAAATATTCCACAAAATCTTAGACGACAAAGGCAGGGAGCCATTTGTTGAATGAATGAAAGAATGGATGGATAATGGATGAATAAAGATTGAATACAGTGTTAGATGCCTCCATGTCCAATCATGTTCCAAGAAGAAGCCCAACCTGGTTCTTTCTCTTCCAGGGAAAATTACCCACAATGCTTTTCTTTCTTGTTGCCATGGTGTTCTGTATACATGACTGTCATGGCATCAGTCAACTGTACTGCAGTGATGGTTTGCTGCTGGCCTTTTTCACTAGTCTCTGAAACTCCTTGAAGACAGGGACCATGCCTTATTCATTTTCTCAGCACTCACACAGTGCCTAGTCCATAGCATGTGCTCATTAAGTGTTGGCTGAAGAAAACCACACAATCCTGTCAGTATAGAATCAACTAGCCAGCACTATGATAGGATGACCAAAGGGCACACAGTTGGCTAAGCTTGCTGTATCTACGGGACTACCAGTGAACATTACAGGAGAACCAGTTCAACTGAACTGCAGTTCTGTTTTGTAGCCAAAGAAAAGCATTTACTGAGTTGATCTTATTCTTTTTTGAGACAGGGTTTCACTATGTAGTTCATGTTGGCTTTTAATTCATCATGTAGCTCAGACTCGCCTTGAGGCATGCATCATATGCCCAGCTTTTTTTTTTTTTTTTTGTACCAGGGATTCAACTCATGACCTTGCACTTGCCTAGCAGGTGCTTTTGCCACTGAGCTGAATCCCCGGCCCCCTATGCCCAGCTTTTAACCTTTTTCATGGTTATTAAAAAGCTAGGATCTTGTTTATTCTTGTGGTGTTTTGGGGTTTATTTTCCTCTGGTCTTGGGGATTGAAACTAGGTGCGGCCCCATACTTTTTTTTCTTTCTTTCTTTCTTCTTCTTCTTTTTTTTTTTTAAACAGGGTCTTGCTATGTAGTTTGGGCTGGCCTTGAACTCATTATGTAGACTGTGCTGGTTTTGAACTTTTGGTGATCCTCTTGCCTCAGCCTCCCGAGTGCTAGGATTACAGGAACATGCTCATGATCTTTTTTTTTTTTTAATTTTGAGACCAGGTCTTACTAAGTCACTAAATCACTCAGGCTGGGTTTGCAATTTTGATCCCCTGGCCTCAGTCCCCCAGAGTGCATTATAAATATTGTGCCATCAAGCTTTAGCTGGTACTCTCTTTATGTTTCCAACTTGCAGGGAACGTGCCCATCCTTTTCTTTTGTCTTAAATGAAGAGGCTAAACGCTTCTCCCAAAATTGAGACAGGAGACGGGGCGTGGCTTGGGATCCCTCCCAGAGGCGGCCTGATACAGCTACAGCTACACAGGAGCAAGTGAGGGAAGCTTGCTGAACTGAAGACAGAAGGGGAAAGGGCGTCCAGGGCCAAGGAGCCTGCAGGTTGAAGACAAATGAGTGTTGTCACTGAGTCCTGGACACAGAGGACAGCTGGCATCTAGAAGGTGTGAGCTCTGGTCCTGCTCCAGAGCTGCTCACGTGGGATGGGGCGCTGCTCTCTTTAGGAGTGGGAAATCAAGTCAACTGTTACTCGGCCTTGCTCTTTGGAAACAAGGCTGCATTAGGTTTAAATGGGAAGCTTCAAAACCTCAAGAAAAACAGCATTTCTCTATTAAAACAGACATTAAATAATTGCAGAGTGCTGAGTTCTAGGCATTTACTCGAAGATGAAAGGGACTCTATAGAGAGTCTAGGACTCTATTCTGAAGGTGCTTTCAGTCTAGTAGGAAAGTAAGCTGACACACAGAAGTGTTCATGCATAAGGATGTGGTTAAGTGTCATAAAGAGGATTAGGTGTTGGTTTAATGAAAACAAAGCAGAGTAGGACATCAGGGAGGTCATTCATTTTGAAAGGGGCCTGGAATTAAATTTGGAAGACAAATGCATGACAAACGCCTTGCATTCTAGGCCACCAAGCAGTTTCTATGGCTGTAACCTTCCTGTCTTATCTAGGGCGGTGATAATACCAACGACCTTTCTCGGGTACTTGCTACTTCATGTTATCATTACCACTATCCAGAGGTGGGTGTTCCATCATCCTGTTTTATAGCTGAGGAAATTGAGACTTTGAGAAGTTGAGTAACCTAGTCAAAGTCATTCAGTTGGAAAAAGTTGGAGGGAAGACATGAACCCAACTAAAATTAAATCTATAAATAACTGCTGCTTTCAAAAGTGAAACCCTCTCCACAGATTCTGAGGAAATAAATGCTCAGTTGTCCTGGAGGAGTAGCCTAAATTTGGGTAGCGTCACTCTCTCTCTCTTTGGTGTCAGGCTTCTAGGCTCTAAAACTCCTTGGGAGGGGCTGGGCTTCGCAAACTCCAGGCCATCGAAGCCAAGAGTGGGAGAGAAAATCAACACCTCACGTCTCAGAGTTCTGGAGAGCCAGGAGGTTCCCTGAGCCAAGCATATCTGAGATGATCTCTTACTCAAATGGCTTGGGCTTAGTCTTGGTCCTAAGCCTCTCTAGACCCCAGGGATTTCCTGACCCTGATAGGTATGGGAAATTATGTCTGCTTGCCTGTAGTGCTGAAATTTTCCTCTAGTGTGTCAAGTACTCATAAGCCATTAGTCCTGATGGAGGCCTTGGAGGTGACTTAGTCCAGTCCCTTCAATTTATATATACACATTAACAGAAATTAATGGAAGAGTCACTAGGATGTCTTGTTTTTTTAGTAAAAGATCATCTTGCCACTCAACAATTTGAGAATTATTTCCCTTAATTATAAAACACATAAAAGAATCTTAGAACCACCGTGTACATACCTGAGAATCTCCATCAACTCTCACCTTTTAATTTTGTGTTCCTTTTGTGGCAGGGACTTGAGGGTAGTATGGTATATAGAGGCAAAGTAATGCATTTCTCCATGCTGAGAGCAGTCTCCTGCTGGTGGTCTGCCCTTCCACTAGAGAGTCCTGTTCAAGGCCAGCAGCCATCTGTTCTGCCTGCCAAGTTCCTTACTGGTTTGAGTTGCTGGCAGTTAGAGCTGAGTGAGCCCTTTCACCTACCTGCTGGCTGCTTATCTGAGGCACATAATTTGTGGAGACAGACCTTCCAGAAAGAACCAAGACTTTCCCTGCTACCCCTGCAGAGGAAGGTAGCAGCTGTACCATGCCAACTCCACGCTAGTTTCATGTCTTTACTACCCATTTAGAACAAGTGTCTGTGCTTGGTGGTTACCAGGGGCCGCTGAGCAGGGCAGGTGGGGAAGGCCTGTGCAAAGCAGAGGAGGACACTGGTGGGGCTGACTGCACACACTGCTCACCTACCCAGCCCCTCGTCACCTATGCAGTCCAGCTGCTGGGCTCTACCTTTCCTATCCCAACCCTTTTAAGCAACCAAACCTCTGATCTGGAGAACATGGTAGGTTCCCATAGCAATGGGCCTTTTAGCTGTTTCCATGGCAACCAACACCCAGACCATTTCATTGCTAGTCCACTGACAGCTCTAAGTAAATCGGTTTAGAAGCTAGGGTTGGGCCCAGGGACTTTCTTCAGAGAAAAGACCCAACCACCCGAATGACTCAACTCCTCTGAAGACTTTCAGGCAGCATCTGTGGAGACAGTATCTCTCCTCCACTCCCATTCCCAACACACACAAGCAAATAATGCAACTGGCTAACCCAAGCCTTTAAGTAAAGTACACCCCAACCTCTAATCTTTGTTCTGTCTCCTTCCAAGGCCTTGGACACCACTTGTCTAATGTGACTCTCACCTGAACAACTTTCTTCCATGTAGCTATCTTCCGTGCAGATGTTCTTCCAGTGGACCATGACTTTGTCCTCCTACCAACCCAGTTATTGGAGAATAATTTGCTTTTTGGATTAAAGTGAATGGCTAATCCAAAATGATCTTAACTTCATTGACCGCATCTATTTTAAGCACCTCGCCTATGCCTGTGGGAGTTCACAGAGACCAGTCTGCTTTATGAACCTTTGCAAAGCATAATCAGGATCATTCTGTTTCTTAAAGAAAAAAAAAAAAAAAAACCTGGCTGAGATTTCAAAACCAAGCGTGTAGGATTTGAAATTACTCCATGCTTGTTGCTTTTTATTAGCCAGAAGATTGGACTACCAGCCGTCACCTTTAACCATCTCCCAAACTGAAGACCTGAGGGTTGCGTTCCCTTTATTTTATAAATTCTTCTCGGTTTTTTTTGAAAAGCAATCTTTATTAGTGTTTGACTGCTATACATCACAGTTGAGATTTGTTTCAGGAGACAGATACAAGTGTACAGCATATTTTTGTTGCTGTTTTGATTTATAACAATTGGAGTTTGATATTAGTCTGCCTTGAATTCCTGTAACAGTCGCGTCTAAGCCTCCAAGGCATGCACAGGGTAGACAAGTGACGCTTCTCTGTATACCCAAGATCCGGTGCGTCTCCACATTGATGACTGGGAACTTTCTGTCGAAGACGCCCTTTCAAATTAATTTACCCACAGGGAGCCCTACATAGCTCACTGCTGCAGGCTCTGGGGAGCCCCACAATGGCCAGGAGGCTGATAGTTCCCAGCAGTAAGGTTCCCTTTCTGTTCTGATCGAAGACTATATAGTAACTGAGCTGCTTTGCTTGGTTTTTTAACACATGAGAGCAGAGGAGTATATGTTGGCATAGTAGCTGTTGGCCCCAGAGGAGTTTAAAAATGTTAAGACTCTTCTGTGGAAAAAAAAAAAAAAAAAAAAAAAAAGACTCTTCTGTGATTAAAATACATATAAGAAATGCGCTTTTCTAGACCTTCAGAAAGTTCCTGTGCGCTAGACATAGCCTTTTTATCTTTTATCTTTATTTTTTGAGACAGGTCTTGCTATGTAGTTCATACAGGCTTCAAACTCATAGCACTCCTCCTGCTCCAGCCCCCCAAGTGCCTGGATTACAGGTGTGCGCCACCATGCCCAGCTGTTAGCCTTTTTCTGAGACACATTACCATGCATTAACATTGGACCTCCTGGTTTTCCTGTTATTTCTAGACAAAGAACAGTGTGTCCTGGAACAGCAGCTAAAGATTAACAGAGTGTGTACTGTGTGCTACAAGTCATCTGTCTGCCATGCCTCATTTTCTTTAATCCTCACACCCTCTTCTTATCCTTCTTCAACAATAAGAAAACTGAAGCACAGAAAGATGAAATGATTTAAAGATCACAATGGCAGTCCGACTCATTGGCAGAGCCAGGATTCAGCTACAGGCCTTCTGGTCAGAGACTACAGGAGTCAAGCACTTTGGGAACTCACACAATTCTGGTACACCTGGGGTCCAAGTGGGGAGATGGGGGTGGCTGCCCCTCTAGACTAAATGTGACAAGCTACACAAGCAACACTAGCTGAACAGCTTTGTGGTAGAATGGCTGGCAGCATTAACTAGCAAGGCTTGGCTGTGGATAACTTCATTCCCTACCCACTGCTGTCCCCTGGTGGTTTTCCTAGGAAACTCACAGGTCCGGGAAATCCAAGGGCCAGGGAAAACCATTGGCCCGAAAAGAGCCAATGAATTAGTTGCGCTCATGTTTGTTGAATACCACTTTGGCAGAAGTGAGAAAAATTCCGTTTACCTTAACCTTACAACAAGTGACCTTCCAAGATCCTTATTACTTAACTCAGTCATGAAGTGATTTATATGATTCTAAGCTGGCTATTGTACATGGGTTTAGGCAGCCCATTATGGTTACACTTGTCACTTTAAGGGCAGGAAACTCTTAAGAGTTAACTGATATTACCATGCTTGCTATAACTTCACATTTTTCTTTTAAGCTTCTAGGCTTTCTGTACCATACAGATGGCTCCCAAAAGATCACTGAGCCACACCTCTTCAGATGTTATTATTTAGCTGTAGGATGTTTGCGTGTTTTTCAAGCATGCTCAGTGGTATAGATCATAAAAAATAACAAAAAACAAGGTCATTTGTGTTGAAAGACTAAGCAAAAGGCGTGTGTGTGTGTGTGTGTGTGTGTGTGTGTTTTGGAGATGAAGCCTCACAATGTAGTTCAGGTTGGCTTTGAACTTGAGGCCATTTTCCTGCCTCAGCTTCCTGAGTGCTAGGATTATAGATACATGCCACCATGCCCAGGGAAAAACGGCAGTTTCTGAGGAGAGTTGTGTCCTTTCTGGAGTCATAGAACTGGGTCCCCACCTGCATGAATCTAGGAAACTTACTGTTTAAAAGAAGCAGGTAACCACAGCCCAAATGCAGAAGACTTTGTTTTTTCTTTATTTAAAGATCAGGTACAGCAAAAAGACACAGTTAATATTGTTAAAAAATCAATTATCTTCTAATCAAGCATTATCTTTAATGAAAACCAATTAAGATGGAACAAGAAACATTGAGACAGCCACAGAAGAGTCAGCTATTGGAGCTAAATTTCTACTATAGAACATTTCTCCAGTGATCTCCGGATATGTGGAAAACAAGTCACTACTGTTGAAGCCACGGGCTGAAGGTGCTGTCAGGAGCCAGCAGACCTGTTGGCTGGATGCATTGGATTCTGTGAGGCACTTGGAGCTGAGGAACCTGTAGATGTAAGGGCCATAGCTACACGGAAGTGGTTTGGAAGTCATTCTCCATAGCGAGCACCAATGCCCTAGAGCAAGTCATCCTGAGACCCCTGAGCCGTCTCCTCCCAGTCCTGTCTGGCAGGGCCCACCCTCACCCAATAGCAAAACACCATGAGACTGTTAAACCAGTCCTCACAGTCCCACTCTGTATTTTCTTTCAGCCCTTTCACAAAGGATATTACAAAGGGTATAGGTCTGAGCGCTTAAGAAATAGGGTCTTAGATGTTTTTGGAGTTTGTGAGGCATAAGACAGTAGTCAAAATTCCTTTCATCTTATGGCAGTGATTCAAGTCTGATTTCCTTCCATTCTTCCCTTCCCTCTACCATGCCCTCTTACCCCTGTGTAGACATACTGGCATCAAACACGTCTAGCCTTTGATTGCTACTGGGATTTCCCAGCAGAAGAGATTTTGTTTTTTGTCATCTATAAGTTCCCATTTCACCACCAGTTTTATCTGGAGAAAGAGAAAAAGAATTGGACAAAGTGAAACTAGGACTTGATTTTAATCCACAAGGAGCTTAACTGTTCTCCAATTGTAATGAACCACCTAAGGCCTCACTCTTTTCTTCTTCTTTTTTTTTCCCCCCTTTTTTCTTTTTACTGGTACCGGGGATCGAACTCACAATCACCTGCTTGCAAGGCAGGTGCGTATCCCGCTGAGCTAAATCCCTAGCCCCACCCTTTTCTTCTTAAATCATGCTATCATGAAGCTGACTTAGCAGCTAGACACTATCTGTGGCCTCCAATTCAGAAGAGTGAACCAAAATACATCTCCCATGACTTGGTGTTAATGATCTCATATAAGAATTTAATTGTGTAAAATATTTCTAAAACATTCTCTTCTTAGATTAATGGTGTGTAAATATCTTACAAGAATAATACATTTATATTTAATAATTTTGCATGTATTAGACAAGTGCTAGGATTACAGCCCTCTTCTCACCATTCTTATCTTTAATAGAGGTTCACTCCAGCACCACTTGCTTACAAGTTGTTGGCAGAAAAATAAGCAAGAAAAGGAGGAATTGGTCAGACATGAAGGTGGAGTTTGGAAAAGTAAAGGGGAAAGGGAGAGTGGAAAAAGCTTTTGCTGTGCAGCGGAGCCTACAAACTACTGCTCTCTCCCTCACACTCTGATGGAGAAACCAGGATGATACTAAGATAACTTGCACCTTGAACAATTTGGTACCTGGCTAAAACTGTTTAACTGCATAGACTTTAGAGCTAGAAGATCCATTTCTAAACCTAGGCTGCCAAGTTTCTTTGGGGAGTGGACTGTCCTTATCTTAAAACATTGGAGGCTCAAATTTCTTCATTGGTGAGATAGAGAATATTATGTCTACCTAGGTAGTCTTGAGGATCAAGTGCAATGTTGCGTGTAAAAGTGGTGTCATTAGGCTCTCAGCCAAACATGAGGCCATGGTGAAAGGACAAAGCACACAATGACCAACACCCGCCCGACTGCAAGATTCCTAACACTGTTTTCCCCCAGCGTCTGCTTCATCATCATAGTGACAAGGGGCCCTTTATATCTTTGCTTTCTAATCCTTGCCTTAGATTTCTTTTTTTTTTTTGTCTTTTTCGTTTTTATCAGTACCAGGGATCGAACTCACGACTGCCTGCTTGCAAGGCAGGCGCTTATGCCGCTGAGCTAAATCCCCAGCCCCCCTTGCCTTAGATTTCTAATCTAGCTCCATGGTCTCGGGTCCCCTCAACAACAATGGCACTTACGTCAGGATATTCACTCTTCACTGGCAATTTATTCAGGTAGCTATAGGTCTTGTCTTTCTGGATTGGGCAGCTGATTCCACTCTTACAACCATCGGGCTCAGGAATGCGGAAGGGGACAGCAACACTGAACAAGATGCCATGCACGAGGGCTGTGCTATTCATAGATTGAGTATCTAAAAGAGAATCAGGCAGAGAAGAAAAGAGTATACTTATAAATTCTAAATTAAATCTTCAGATATATTCTCCAACAACAGCTTGGTTACACTAGAAAATCAGGAAGTCCTACTTCTTGATTCCTAGTGTCTTTGCAGGTCTGTGTAGGACCTAGCATACAAGCAACTGACAGGCAGGAGTCATGTCCTTTCTCCTACCCCCACCTGGCCGTCCACTGCCTTTCAGGTTCTCAGGACAATCAGAGCCACCTGGACGAATAGCCTTAGCTAGCAAGGCGACTGACTTGACAGGAACCTTTCTGTTTGCTATTTGTACCAGCTTCTACTGAAATGTACGGTGTGCTTTAAATGCCAAGGTCCATGATGACAGTGAAAGAGGTAACCTTTCAGAACTCTGGTAAAATTAAAAACAAGTACATTTCTTAGTAGCCTATAACCTCCATATCATCAGATGGGCAGAAGGCATAAAGGCATCATGAAATTAGGGCAACCAGACTTAGGAGCTGAGAGGGTATTTTGGAGACACAGGGCTTGTTTTGTTCTTCCTGCCTGGCTGCGATGACCTCTGTTTAGAAGGCACATCCCTCCAGTCTGGTCAGCGGGGAGAGGAGGGGAGAAATAAAAAAGAAAGAAAGCATATGCCTCCAGGTTACAGGCCAGGAGAAGAAACAGGGAGCTCAGACGTGCAAATAGACTTTAGCCTTATGAACAAGATATGCTAGGAACTCTGAGGCGCCTCAGCAGAATATCTACTTTCACAGGATAGAAAACTAGGGGATGATTTAAGGCAGCTGCTCTGCCCAGAAATTAAAAAAAATTTTTTTCTTCAAATCCATTTTATTTCAAAGAGAAAAAAAGTAAGTAAAATGAAACTAAGTTTCTTTTTTTTTTTTTTTTTTTTTTTTTAGCGGTACCAGGGATTGAACTCACGACTGCCTGCTTGCAAGGCAGGTGCTTATGCTGCTGAGCTAAATCCTCAGCCCCGAAACTAAGTTTCAAAACACATCAGTGGGGGGGCAACAATGGTACATACATTTTGCATTGTCATCTCCAAACCATTCACCCAGAGCACAAGACATCTGCATTCAATTGTCTGAATAATACTAGCACAAATCTTCCTCTTCAGTAAACTGAGAGAAATCAGTAGTATAACTATCTTAAATAATTTTTTTTGTCTTTTTCATTTTTATCGGTACCAGGGATTGAACTCGCAACCACCTGCTTGCAAGGCAGGTGCTTATGCCGCTGAGCTAAATCCCTAGCCCCTTAAATAAAGATTTTACATTTATGTCAGTTCTCAGAAATCTGGAAGTGTTCAATGAGGTATAATAAAACAACCCAGGCTGGGAATATAGCTCAGTAGCATTAAGTGCCAACCTGGTAAGTGCAAGGTCCTGAGTTCAATTCTAAGTATCAAAAACAACAACAAAAAAGCAGTCCAACCCAGCACCACCGAAAAGCAAAACAACAAAAAACAATCCATGTTTCAGTAGTATGTCCGCATGTTGAAGAACAAAGCTCAAGTTTTTTTTTTTTATTGTTTTTTGGGTCTCTAGTGAGTTCCCTAAACCTTACAGGGACTGTTACTTTTTTTTTTTTTTAAATTGGTACTGGGGATCAAACTCACGACCACATGCTTGCAAGGCAGGCGCTTATGCCACTGAGCTAAATCTCCAGCCCATGGGACTATTACATATTAATTGCACCTTTTTTCCAGGTAGGTGTAGACTTAATGGCTGAAAGGTAGATTTCTTAACATTTTTTTCCTTGGATTTTGGAGACAGGGTCTCGCTGTATAATTCAGACTGGCCTTCAGTTCACTATGTAACTCAGGCTGGCCTCAAACTTGTGGTGATCTTTCTGCCTTTGCCTCCCTTGTGCTGGGATTACAGGCATGCGCCACCACACCTGGCAGATATAACATTTTTGAGTTGTTCCAAAGTTTACAGAATTGGGTCTATGGCCATTCCATCCTGAACATGCCAGTCTTGTTTGATCTGGGAAGCTAAGCAGGGTTGGGCCTGGTTAGTACTTTGATGGAAAGTTTACAGAATGGGAGTCTATACTAACACTCACAGTATGTAGCCATAGCTAATACTCCCATGAAAGTCTGCTGTGCAGCATGGGCCAAGATAGGACAGAGACAAGACAACCCATAGACGCAGCGAAATCATTCTTCTGAAAGGAACACCAGTGACCATGGACTCTGAGAAAGGGACATACAGGGACTCAGTATGAGAAGGATGTCTAAGGGCATAGTAAATTCAGCTTTGTCCAAACTGCGGGGAGGAAGAGTTTCCGACAGTCACCTTCTTAGCCCTTAGAGCCTCATGGTCATCCCAAGAGCTGATGTTTATGTTACACTTCAGCATGATTTTCAGAATAAGGGCCATATTTACTCACTGCTGGTAAAGGTCACATTGACACCGTAGGTCTGCCCTTTGTTCAGTTCACATGGCTGTGTGGGACATGGGCTCACATTCACTTCCTTTATAATTCCAACCTTAGAACCTATAAAGAAAGAAAGCAAAAGAAAAAAAAGGAATTAGAGGAAGAGGAAAGCCATACCAGGCAGGCCGGTTCACTACCTAGTGGGCTTGTGCTCGCCTCTCCCAATTAGGGTGCGCTCATTCTCTTTTGACTGCTTTCCTGGGATGAAATCTTCAAAACTATGTGCAGTTGTAAGAGAGAATTGTGTCAGGTGAGACGGCACATACCTACAATCCTAGTACCTGGGAGGCCAAGGCAGGAGTATTGTAATTTTGAGTTCCAGGCCAACCTGGACTACAGAGAAAGACATTGTCTCAAACAAATCAACAAAAAAGCAATGAGCAATGATGAGAATCCTAGTTCACCTTCCTCCTCAAATCATACCCTATAAATTGGACCAAAGGGATGTAGTCCATTTCCTGATGAAGACAAAGTTAATATTTGTCAAATATCCAGGAAACCATGTGCAAAAAAGATTAAAGGGATTAAATTATAACCCAAGAAACTCAGAATTGCTCCTAGATTTAAAAAAATTCATTTTTATCAGCACGTTTGTAGTACATAATGATTACATTCATCATGGGGGTACATTTACATAATATATGTGATTTCTTTTCCTTTCCCCCTCTCTACTCCTGTATTCTTTTTTTATTTTTGTGGCAGTCTCACTTTGTAGGGCAGGCCAGCCCTGAACTCACTATGTAGCCCAGGTTGGCTATGAATTTGCAGTGATTCTCCGGCCCCAGCCTCCCGAGTGTCCCCTGTGCCTAGAATCTTGTATTGCATTATTAATACAAGAGGTCATAGTTTAAACCTAAGCTTTGAAAATGTTTGCCTCAATCTTTCAAATGTTTTATTTCCCCTTTTACTTTCTAGCAAAGAGATAAGCATGTAAATCCTAAATGCATGGCGTTTACTGGAGTTTGGGACCACACTTCATGCAAAAACAGCTGAAAGGCAAACCTGTTTACCTGCACATCCACCAAGGAAGATATAAAGAAGTCATGCCACCTTTCTACTGGTCCTACAATAGCAAATGCTGCTTTAAGGAGTTTAGTATTTGTCGGAAAGTCTGACAGAATCCAAACAAAAAACCTCTTTATAGTTTCTTTTAGAGTTTAACTCCTGAGTCATTTATTTTTAGGCCCTATCAAACTTGTACCTAGCAAGGATGAGGGGAAGCTGAGGCACTTGAGGGGGGGAAAAAATGAACAAAAAAATCCTTACAATCTAACCTCCTTGTTTTAAAGATTAGAAAAGAGAAAAGCATTAAGATCATTATGACTTCAGAATTACAGAAGACAGTCCTAAAATGAATTTGGAGCCAGAAGATACCTAGAATAGCAAAGCAATTCTGGGCAAGAAAGGCAAGGCAGGGGATATCACCATCCCTGACTTGAAATTATACTGTAAAGCTATTACGATAAAAACAGCATGGTACCAACAAAAAACAAACCCAAGGATCAATGGAAGAGATTAGAAGATGCAGAAACAACTCCAAACACACTCAGTAATTTTACCTATGACAAAGAAACTAAAAACCTTTCTTGGAAGAAAGCTAGCCTCTTTAATAAATGGTGCTGTAAAAACTGCTTTCCACATGCCAAAGATTAAAACTAGGTGCATATCTTTCATCATGTACTAAATGAAATCAAAATGGATTAAAGATCTAAATATTAAAACAGAAACACAATCTACTAGAAGAGAAAAGTAGAGTTCTTGAAGTCAGGTGTAGGCAGACATTTTAGGAACAAAACCCCAGTCACACAGGAACTATCACAAAGAATCAACTGGGATCTCATCTTATTATAGAGCTTTTACATAGCAAAAGAAACCACTAATAGGGTAAAGAGACAACTTCCAGCATGGAAATTATTTTTACCAGCTGTTCCTCAAATAAAGGACTGATATCTAGAATATACAAAGAACTAAAAAAACAAAATCAGATTCCCCCCACAAATTTACAAACCCATTCCAAAAATGGGCATCTGAAAGGAATAGATACTTCTCAGCTGAAGTAGAAACAGCAAATATATGAAAAAATATTCAACATCACTGGTCATTTGAGAGACGCAAATTAAAACAGTGCTGAGATTCCATTTCATCCCTGAAAGAATGGCTATGATCAAGAAATCAATAACACGCTGGCAGGGTTAGGGGGAAAAAGGAACCTTTCTCCACTGCTGGTGGGAATACAGACTGGTGCAACCACTGTAGAAATCAGTGTGGAAATTCCTCAAAAAACTAAATCCAAAATTCTACTCAACCCAACTATTTCCCTTCTTAGTATCTTCCTGAATGGTTTATATTTTTTTACCAACAGAATTAAAAGCATCATACCACAGCAATACATTCACATTCATGGTTACAGTAGCACAGTTTGTAATATCTAAATCTTGGAAATACCCTAAATGCCCATCAACTGATGAACAGATGAAATCTTTTTTAATACAGTGGAGTACTACTCTGCCATAAAGAATACCCTCAAGACATTTCTAGCTAAATGGATACATCTTTTTTTTTTTTTTTTTTTTTTGGTCTTTTTCCTTTTTATCGGTACCAGGGATCGAACTCACAATTACCTGCTTTACAAGGCAGGTGCTTATGCTGCTGAGCTAAATCCCCAGCCCCTAAATGGACACACCTTGAGACCATACTCTGAAGTGAAATAAAGCAGACACACATGCTTAAATACTGCATTATTTCTCTGGTGGGAGAAACTGAAAGTGTCATAAGGATTAAAATGTGTAACATATTGTGAAATAGGAAAATATTCAAATGGGAAGGGCAACTAGGGAGGGGGAAGAGGGAAAGGAAGGGAAAACAAAAAAATGGAAACAAAGTTTTTGTAAGTAAGGTGGGAAAGAGGATGAAGGAAGGAGAGAGGAATGGGACAAAAAGAAGCAAGGTACATCACGTACAGGTACAAACTCCCTATGATGAATGTGACCATTATGTATACCTGAAATGTACCAATAAACTTAATTAACAATACATAGTAGATATTGGGAAAACGGGAAGAGAACAAAACGTTCAAATGAGAAGGTGAACAAAGGAGGAAGGAGGGCAAAAGGAAAGAAAGGACAAGAAAAAAACAATGGGAAAAATGGAGACAAAGCTTTTGCAAAATATGGAGGGGAAGAGGGGTTGAAGGAAGGGGAATGGAAAAAAGCAACATACCATGTACAGGTACAAATTCTCCACGACGAATGTGATCATTAGGTCTATCTAAAATGTACTGATAAAATTTTTAAAATGCAGACTTTTTTTTTTTTTTGGAGCTGGGGATCAAATTCACAACCTTGTGTTTGCCAAGCAGGCACTCACGCCACTGAGCTAAATCCCCAAAATTTTAAAATGCAAAAAAAAAAAAAAAAAAAAAAAAAAATTACTGTGACGTTTTCTATGGTCACACTGTCTGGAAAAAGCAAATCCAAGAGTTAAGGAATTGCCCTGATTTGGTCTCTCTTCCTGTCTCCCTTCCACGTTGCCGGGGATCAAACCCCAAACCTCCTGTGTGCTAGGCAATTGTTCTCCCACTGTGTAACTATCACCAGACCTAGGTATTCTTTATCTTAGAGGTTCAGCTTCCATATTTCCTGTGACATTTAGTGATGAAGTGTCTTCTTTCCAGAGTTTATACTCTTTCCTCAAACTCCTGCTGAACTCTTCACCCATATTCTTGAAGTTCTTTATTTTTTATTCTTTTGCTGTAGCCTGGTTTCCTGAAGAAATGACTGTATTATTAAAGGTATGGGTAAAACAATGAACTGTGCCAGAAAATCTAGTTTTTGCTTCTTAAATTAGTTTACTCACTTGCAAGTAAGCAGACTGGAATTTAAGAGGAACTACCATTTTAACTCTCAACTAAAGAATGACCCTAAATATGACCTTTAAGAGAGGAACTCTCACTAGTCTGTATAAATAATATGCACTAATAATTTTTAAAAAGAGAAAAAAACAGAACAGAGGTCAAGATCTTTATAGCTCCAGGAAAAATTTAGGATCCAAATTAAACAATAAAACTTTAATCAAACTAGGGCTGATTCACACAGCCAAGGTATCAGAAACGCCAGCAGTTAGAGAATATTGGTTCTTGATTTGGGGCTTTGTCTCCTTTGAAGTGCTTATTTCCCTGGGTCTAAAGTGCTGATGAAAATACTACGTTTGCAAATACTATGCATTTAAAAAAAAGTCACAGTAGGAAGGTGTTAGGGAAAGTCAGAAACAATTGCTTTATGATTCATAAAGTAGATTCAGCTCAGAAGTCATCTAATAGAAGCACTGAGGAATGACACCAGATGTTCTCTATAGATCTGCATAAACTCTCTAAAAGGAGCTACAGACTTTTCCTATTACTAGGTAAAGGTAGATGCTATAAATTATTTAAAAAATATAAATACTTCCACTGTTCTATACTTTGGGAGACTTGGGTCAGGGTAATAAACGCTTCTGTCCCAACACAGACTATAAAGCCATGCACATTGCACCACTGATAACTCAAGCTTAGGTGCTACCACTTCCATTTGCAACCTTGAGATCAGCTACTCCTGGTTTGTCTCCATCTTTCCCACTATTTTTTTTTTTTAATCGGTACTGGGGATCAAACTCACAACTACACGCTTGCAAGGCAGGCGCTTATGCCACTGAGCTAAATTCCCAGCCCCATCTCCCACTATTTTTTTCAAGTCAGCGGTCCCTTAAGTTTGACTGCAGACCCCTACCAATAAGATCTGCAATATATAGATGGATACTTCACTTTGGAAACCTATGTTTTCTAACATGTGTCTCTAAGCAAGGAGTGTATTAAAAAGTTCTTTTTAACCAATGACAAAAGTGCTCTTTGTATACAACACACACACACACACTTTTAAGTATGAGTCTTGAAAAGTCCTATTTCTCTATCCAGGCTCCTGAAACTGGACAGGAGGTGATGGGAGGTGACAGTGCCTGTGACACAGTAAGTGAAGCACTGCCATCCAGCCATGCTTGCTGCAGCAGACTCTGGGGCCTGCTGCCTGGGTTTGAAATCTCACTAGGTCCACTACTTACTGTGCAACCTCAAGACGCCTAACATCTGGGAACAGAAAGGATGCTCATCTTATAAGGCAGGTGACGTAACACAGCCAGTCAGCTCTTAGGTAAGAGTTTGGAACATGAGAGTGCCACGTAAGTCCTTACCACGCACATCACCGTATCATGAGTCAGTCCATGAATCTAACCTAGAGTAGCTGCTCTGGGATGGGTTAGCAAGTCCTCTTTTGACACCAAAGCTGAACTTCTCTTCTTAAATATACTTCATTTACAGAGATTATATTTCCAGCTAATCATATGGACTCGTACAGTCTCCAAAGAATGCATAAAGACAGCAGGTGCACTGAAGGTGGAGTACGTTATGTGCCCGCGGGCCAGATTAGCTCAGCACTGTGAAAGGATAATGGGAACATGGTCACTCAAGTAGAGCACTCTGTATATTCTACCTGTTCCTTCCCTCAGGCTGAAGAGTCCCTTTGAACTACTTCTACAGTCACATGACCACCTGCTCTGCCTCGGTCTATCAGTGACAGTCTACAGTCTCTGCGCAACTTGCTTCTCCCTCATAGCATAGCAAAAGTTCACAAACTACACACACTCAGCACCTTCGACATTTAGAGACGCACTCACTTCCACTTCATAGAAGCTGTCTTCTCTGAATATTAACCAGTGATTGAAAATCAGTGCTTATGTTGATGTGTTCCATGTCCAGCTTCTACCTGCTTGTTTGAAGGCTATGTAGTACTTACAGCTCTTTCATCCAGTTTTTTGCTAACAAGAGGTTCTTGGGCTTCAGTAGAACAAAGCCCTCTGCTCTAACCCACAAACATTGCAAAACTGAAGTTGGCTTGGTCCCATTTGTCACTTGAGGAAGTTCCACTCCAAGGAAAGGTGGGTATAGAGTGGACTGAAAAATCTTTTGATGTGGGTGCTCAAATTTTTACATTGTATTTCTCACTTCAAAAGTCAATTGAGAATCTAGTTTGGTGGTGCATTCTGGTAATCCTGGCGCTCAGGAGGCTGAGGAAGGAGGATCATTTCAAGTTTGAGGCCGCCTTGGGCTACAGAGTGTTCAAGACTAGTCTGAACTACATAGCAAGACCGTCTCAACAGACAAACAAACAAGCAAAAAATAAATGGAAAATGTGTGATGGGAATTCCTCAAGAAGTTCTCCCCGTAGGTTGTATTCTCTGTCTTTTTGCCCCCAAAATGAGTAGAGCAATTTTAAGATTTCAGTTCTCCCTCTCTCCCTTCCTCTCCTTTCCTTTTCTCACGAAGACCCACTACTTTCCTGCTGCTTACAAGCTGTGAGATCTTGGGCAAGTTACTCTGTGTGCCTTGGATTCTACTTCCTTAAAAGATAGTAAAGACTGAATGAGTTAATAATATTAATAGTGTCGCCTTCCAAATGTTGGCCACTAAGTTTAGTGGAGGGAAAGGCAGTAGGTGTAAGAATAGTTGCATCTTTCAAGCTCCAGTCTCCTACCTCAAAGAAATGGTATCTGTTAAGTGTTAACAGGCCAGAATTGATTCCTCAATCACTCCAATCCCCTTTACCCCAACTTGGCTTTTGTTTCAACATAAATATTGATGACAGTGGAAAGAATATATATATATTCCCTCATTTACCTTTTCAGCAAATTTTATTAAGTAATTACTTGGACACAATAAAACAGCAAACTCTTCTTGTTATTTACTTTGCTATGTGACTTTAGGCAGGCTACCTAGTATTACTGGAGTTCAACGACTAGCTGACCTCCATGTTTTCTTCTGGCTCAGGTATTTTTACGAAATTAGTATCATTGCACCTTTCCACCTCCAACCTTCTAACAGAATTGTTTAGTTCTGTCCTACAGTGAATTCTACAGACTTGACTGAACTCAGAATTTCTATGCCTGTTGCATTTATTTATTTATTGTGAGAGGGTCTTGCTATGTAGCTCAGGTTAACTGAACTCACTATGTAGCCTGGCTTCTAACCTTGCACGGTGATTCTCCTGCCTCAGCGTTTGGAGTGCTGGGATTACAGGTGTGCGCCACCACACCTGGCTGCTTGTTGCTTTTTCCAACAAAGATTCCAACCACAGCGCTGAGAGGGAGAGATGTGTCACAAGAAACGATCAGGCACATGAGTTTTACAGGAGTTAAACTAAGAACCTGACTGACTCAGAAAACTGACTTAAAGGAAGATATTTTGCAACAGGATAATTTAGGAAATGAGGAATTAACTTTTTTCTTTTTTTGTACCGGGGACAGAACTCACAACCTCGCGCTTGCCAACCATGGGCTTGTGGCGCTGAGCTAAACCCCTGGGCCGGGGAATTGACTTTTGACTTACCAGCAAAAGGAAAATTAGGAAAGGTAAAGGGAGCGGGCAAAAGGGGATGGGCGGACTACGATAAAAGGTATCAATAAAATCTCAACCCCAAGGCTGGGTACAGACATTTAGATGTCTGCCCTCCAAATTTTTGAGAACTTCGATATGAGGTCTATCTCAGGAGTATCTAGGGACCTCCAAAACACTCGTTGCAAGCAGAGACAAAGTTGTGTGCAGTCAAGTTTCATCAGGGCTAGTATCTTCGGTCCCAACCCAGTTTACACCACGCAGGGCCTTTGAGTCTGAGGAACCCGCCCAGCCCAGCCCACTCCAGGGGGCTCCGCGCTGGACCCCGGGGAGGGCGCGGGTCTACCGGAGAGAGCGCGAGGAGCGCGGACCAGCCCGGGGCTCACCGCAGTCCTTGTACTTCACCCGCTCGGCCTGGCCGGAGGCGATGCACACCAGGAGTAGGAAGGCAGCAGCCGCCGGGAAAGGCATGGTGCACGGCGAGGATCCAAGTTCTAGGAAGGAAGGAGCGGCAGCCCGGTCACAAGATAAAGTTGTAAAGGCTGGTCGGAGGAGGAGCCCAATCAGGCGACCTGTCCCCAGCAAAAACTGCTGAGGCCCGCCTACGTCCCGCCCCTGGCTCCAGAACCTGCTTGCTATCTCCGCCCATCTGCGGATCAGTGGGTGGGACTAAGAAGATGCAACTCGGTTCTGACTCGGCTGTATTTGCGCACACACACTTCCGCAATGGTAGCATTTCTAGCCAATCAAGCTCCAGCCAGTCAAGCTCTAGATTAACCAATAGACATGCAGAAGGGTGGGGTCTCGATGAAGTCCCACCCACAGGCCTTCCCCGCCCCGCTCCAATCCTGGCGGAGGCGGGAATAAGGGAAATACGCGGGGCGGAGTTTGTGGAGGAAGATGGCGGCCACCAGGGCTCCGTCCCTAACGGCCGCGGTGCTGAGAGCTGTCATTCCCTGGAGGAGGGCCAGGTATCAAGACTGGAAGGGCACTTGGGAAGGATGTTACTTATTTCCTGTTCAGGACAAATGGGAAACTAAGACCCACAGGGGAGGGGGAGGGTTTGGCGTGAGGCAGTCCAGGTGAGGGTCTCCAGGTGCCCCCCGTGCTCTCGGGCATCTTTCTTCTTCTTGCGGCAGGGTCCTCGAGGCCTCTGCGGAACTGCAGGCGCGTCGGAAAACGTCGTCCTCCAGCCCCGAGGCTGGCGAAGGACAGATCCGCCTCACAGACAGCTGCGTCCAGGTATGAGGCGAACGCAGGGTAGCAGTGCCCGAAGGAGCACGGAGCCTCCTGCACCCGCGCCTCACCGTTTAGAATTCTTGATCCCCTTTTTGCATTCCAGAGGCTTCTGGAAATCACCGAAGGGTCGGAATTCCTCAGGCTGCAGGTGGAGGGAGGTGGATGCTCCGGATTCCAATATAAATTTTCACTGGACACAGTTATCCACCCGGATGACAGGCAAGGAGGAAGGGTTGGGTCCTCGGTATGTACGGGGATTGGGGAGATGAAGTGTCAGCAGTTCAGTGTGCATTGTCATGACAAGTCTAAAGACTTGTTAAAAAATGGTTAATAGCGTTTATCTCACACTGAGAAGTGAACATTTGTCATACTGATTCAATATAACTAAGTTATAGTTGGAAAATTGGCTACTTAAGTCCATAGGGTAGACTGGAGAGAGTCCAGCTGACTAGATTTCAAGATCAAATTCTTAAACTTATTTTTCAATGTTCAGTCCATTGACTGTTCAAAGAAAATCAGCACCTCTTAGGGTAATAAGGAATGTTTTCTCTGTATTTCAGAAGAAAGAGAAGGTGCACCTCTGGCCTCAGAGGGCTTTTGGTGTTGATGACATTCATTACTGCCTTCCTCCTGTCTTTTCAGGGTATTTGAACAGGGTGGGGCAAGAGTGGTGGTTGACTCTGATAGCCTGGCTTTCGTGAAAGGCGCCCAGGTGGACTTCAGCCGCGAACTGATCCGAAGCTCATTTCAAGTGTTGAACAATCCTCAAGCACAGCAAGGCTGCTCCTGTGGGTCATCTTTCTCTATCAAACTTTGACAAGATGACAGGGGACCCTGAGATTGCTGGCAACTGTACTAGTCTGAGACATCTGAGATTAGTAGAATTCTAGAGGTTTCTAATCATGTCCTCATGGTTTTGTTTTCCTTAATCCAGCAGTATGTATGTTTGCCACTGTTACTTTCAAAATGTGAAGCTTTCACACTTGGCCAAAATAGCCTCTTTCCACCTTCCCTTTATATGATGCTAAGGCCACTCTTCCAAATGTTACCTCAGGTTTAATCACTGGTTGAAACCCAATATAGCCGGGTGTGGTGGTGTACACCTGTGATCCCAGGACTTGGGAAACTGAGGCAGGGGAATTGCTGTGAGTTCAAGGCTAGCCTGATCTACATAACAAGACCATATCTCAAAAACAAAACTCTAATATTATCTATAGAGCCCCAAGCCTCCAAAATTTGGAGTGACTTCATTGGCCTTCAGAACTGCTTGTACATATTTGTATTAACTATGCATAAAAACCTCATTTTAAAGAAAGTCCTCATTTACTTGTGTTTTGAATTAGGGTCACAGATTAGGTAGTTTGAACACCAGTTACTAGGCCAGAACAGATGAGAAAGGCACATGAAATGTCTTTTTCATTTTACACATCCTGAATGTATTACTAACATTTTTGTTTTCTCCTGTAACCCATTTGCCTCTTCTCTTATGATAGGGCAGATACATTTTGTTGTCATACTTGTCAGTCTGCTAGGATTCATAAAACCAAGAGCCTCTCCACCAGAATACTTGGACCATATCCCTTCTGATACCTGAATTACTTGAAAAATAGCCTCTCTATACTCATGTAGACATTTGAAGAGCCTGTGACCATTTACTAACTGAATCTTTTCAGAATGTATGCTTCCTTTATGGTGAAAAAGTCTTTGGTCTCGTCCAGAGCAGGATCTAATTTCTTCACTATTGTAGATAATAGATAGTGGCCTTTTGGGTTACCAGATGAAATGTAGGATGCCAAGTTGTACTTTTTTTTGTTGTTGTTACTGGGAACCAAACTCAGGACCTTGTGTTTGCCAGGCAGACATTGTGCCACTGAGCTACATCCCCAGAGCCCAGTTATATTTGAATTTCAGATAAGCAGTGACTTTTTTTAGTATAAGTATGTTGTGTAATATTTCTAATATGAGTATGTCTCATCACAACAAATAGCACTAACACTGGGAAAACCACAACGGGGTTGATTCTGAAAGAGTTATTTGTTAAGTCCATCTTTTCCTTGAGAGCCTAAAAGTTTGGTATAGCAAAAACTTGCTGAATAGGATAGGAATTAAGGTTTTTAGTAAGAAAACTTGCCATTAAAAAAACCTCAAAAAATGGAAATGTGAGAAAACCTAGAATTTCTGGACATGAGCCCAGAACTCAGGCGGCTGAGTCAGGAGAATTGCCTAGAGTTTGAGGTCAACCTGAACTACATAGCAAGACTGTGTCTCAAAAAAAAAAAAGAAGACCTAGAATTTAGAGGAAACAAGCCTATCATGTGGTTAGAAGAAAGAAATGGATTCTTGGGACCCTGAACAGATTTCTCAGCTGTCTATGACAGGAGGTGGAAAGCAGCATGGCACAGAAATGTCTTCTTATTCCATCACCAGGATAGTTGCAGCCAGTATGTAGGCCTAATAAGATTTGCAGTCCTTTCATCATTCTTAAAAAGAGATTTTGCTAACACTTCAAATTTTAGAACATATTCTTCCAGAATACTTTTGAGGGTTATCAATTTGGTGGTTTTAAAACTCCAAAGTGTAAGCAGCATAGCTTTAGTTGCTAAACAGATTGCACTAAATTGCCGTGGTCAACTGGGCAGAAGCATGGTGCCTTGGAATGTATACCTGCTGTTAGCAGGAGAATTGGAATTCCATGATTAGAAATAGGTGGGTTCGAGCCAGGTGTGGTGCACACCTGTAATGCCAGAGCTCACAAGGCTGAGACATGAGGATTGCTGCAAGTCTGAGGCCAGCCTGAACTGCATAGTGAGATCCTGTCTCAAAAAGAAAAAGGTGGATCAGGAAAAAGTCACCTCACTTCACACTGAGAGGATATCATAAGGAAACAAAGTGGCAAGAGGTCATCTTCGTGGATAGGGCAGGGATAATAACAGCAGCAAGAGGAAACTGGGCCATTTGCTTGACGAATCAACATTGTAAGCAGATTTAGGGTCTTCTGCAGGCCCTTTCTGGCCAGAAACCCTCTTCCCAACGGGCCATAAAGCCAGTAGATGTTTCACAAATTCTGTTCACTGTGCAAATTCATTTAGGGAAACTTTATATTCTTCCCGTATCACTTGGAAGATCTTTAGTTTTCCCATTACTTTCCAGGGCAGATTTGTTGCAGAACTGGCTTTAATGTTTTATGCAAACAGATGCCTGGGCATCACAGTCCCCCTGGCCCCCTCTTTTTTTTTTTTTTTGCCGTGGGGATTGTAGCCAGGGCTGGGGCCTCAGGTATGTTAGGCGGTACACTCCATCTCTTCTTTTCCCCTTCTTTTTCTCCTTTCCTCCTCCTCCTCCTCTGATTAAACCCAGGGAATCTTTGGGAATGTTTCAATAGATTAGGAGAAAAATCTGTTGAGATTAAACTGGGCATGGTGTTTGTAATCCCAGCACTCAGGAGGCTGATGCTGAGAGGGTCACCACAAGTTTGAGGCCAACTCAGGCTACTTAGCAAGCTCAAGGCTAACCTGAAATGTATGGCAACACCCTGTTTTCAAAGCCAAAACCAAACCCAAACAAACTCAAAGCATTAGTGCGCTGACACTTGGCCGGAGCAACCAGGTATAAGGAATAGACCACTTTCCCTTGAACTCTAGCCCCAAGGTAATGCTGTGAGCTGGCCTTCTGCAAGGTCCAGCACTGTTCATTGCAATATTATGGTTTCATATGTTTGTCCAAAAGGCAAGAAACACCTTTATTTTTCTTGATACCTAGAGTTGATAGTTACTTATTTTTGGGTCCCGGGGATTGAACGCACAACTGCACACCTGCTTATGCCACCGAGCTAATTTCCTAGCCCTGGGTCAATACTTACAATTGTTCTCTTAAAATCCACTTGGCCTTTCCCCTTAAAAATGTTACCAGGCAGCTAAATAAAAGTTTGCTTTTGTTGTTTGATTTTTTGAGGCAGGGACTGTGTAATCCAGGCGAGTTTTGAACTCGCTATGTAGCACAGGCTGGCCTCAAACTTACAGCACACCTGCCTCAGCCTTCCAAGTGCTAGGATTTCAGGTATGTGCCACCACACCCAATAAAAGTTTGCTTTATAAAATTTTGAAATATTTGTCACCTGATTTTAACTGTAAAGTGTAATCGGATAAATATGTAGAATACAGGGCATTTAAGCAGTCTGGCCAACAGCTGTATTTAAAAATATTTTATTTTTTGAATAATACAAGTTTAACAAGACACAAAAGAGCTTACAGTGAAAAGTCTCCCAATGTTGTTCCTATCCACCCTGTCACCTCACAACCACAATTGTTTTAAAGAATTTATCCAAAATACAACATGAAATAACATGCACAGGATATTCATTACAGCATTATTAGCAAAAAGAAAAAAAAAATGGACATCTATGTCAATGAATTGATTAATTACAGTTTATCCATTCAATAGAATGGTGTACAGTTATGAAGTAGAATGAGACAATTCTTTATGTGTAAGTATAAAGTGAAAACAATACAGAACAGCATGCATAATATACCATTTGGATTCTTAATAAAAAATGTGCACACACATGCAGTGTGTCTAGAAGGATTGAGTGGGCAGTGTTAGTTGGGGACGGGCGGTGGGAACAGCAGGGTATGTTATGAATGATGGGTGTGAGGTGGAGGGGCAAGGACGCAGTTAACAGATACCCACTTCTCTTTGACAGATAGCAGCATATGTTACACACTACTGAATAACCTCCCCTTTTCTCTTAGTCCATTTTGGATCTTTCCTAGGAAGGCATTAGACCTTTTTTTGTTTGGTTCCACAGCAACCAATCTTCTGCTATTACAAAAATACTACAATAAATAACCTTTTACACATGTCATTTCACATTTGGTGAGGAAGTTAACATCTAAAAATTAAATTGCTTGAAGTTAGTACTGTTACAGTTTTTTTTTTTTTTTTTGTCTTTTTCATTTTTATCGGTACCGGGGATCGAACTCACGACGACCTGCTTGCAAGGCAGGCGCTTATGCCGCTGAGCTAAATCCCCAGCCCCCTACTGTTACAGTTTTGAAAACACTGTCATACTGTCCTCTTGAAAGGTTGTGCCACTTTAAACTCCCATCAGCTTTATGAGAGTCTGTTTCCCTAGATGCTTGCTTGCAACTTTGAGTCTTAACAGTTTTTATCTTCACTAATCTTTAAAAAGTGTATCACTGTGCATTTTAAAAATTACATTTCTGTTATTATTAATGAAAGAATAGTTTCACATGTGTAAAATCATGTTTTTGTCTTCCAAAAACATCTCTACTACTCTAGTGACTTAGAGCAAATTATCTAAACTTTCTATGCCTCAATTTCCTCAGCAGTAAACTGGGAATAAAACTAAGAAGTAGGATCATTGAATGACTAAGTGAAATTTGTGCACAGCACTCAACACAGCGCCTGGCATGTGACAAGCCTTCAATAAATTATGTAATGGCCAACAATCAGAACAGCAGGAAGGACAGGACAGATTAAGAAAGTAGCATCTCCATCTCTGGTCACATGCCACCTTGTTTACATTGCTTTTCATCAGAAATAGAATTCTCCTTTGAATAGTAAAGAACTTTTTCCCATTGGAACCAAATAGTATACTACTGGCAGAGCTGGCCTCACCTGTGATTTTTAGACTTAGCCAACACGGTAAGGAAAATTGGTCTAATGTGAAATAAAAACAGGAAACAGAAGAGTCAGGATGTATATTTCTTTACTGTGATTCTGAACTCCCAGCTAGCCTGGATTGGAAAGCCCAGAGGGACCCCAGACATCCATTTTCTGAAGAGGATGGGCCCAGGCTTTGAGCACAGAGAAGCAAAAGATTGGAAATCTTCCTCCAAACAAGATCACACTAGAAAATAGACCTTTTTATTGTTAGCAGAGCAAACTGGCTTTCACCAAAAAGAGTCCAGTAGAGATTTATTTCCTGTAAGAAGTGTGTATATTTAATAAAGATCTTTAGAGATGAGTATTCTTGTGGCAGCCCTTGCTGTAAGTGCGCAGGGGCTGTTGCTGGGTGAATTTTGAATACCCAGAACTACTGAGTATTTCCTTAGACTTGTAGAAGCCTTGGCCCCCTCTTCAGTATCAGCTCCCCACATTTTCATATTGCTCTCTTGCTGCTTTCTCCAGCTCTTTGCTCCTCTTTATTGGTGTCTCTTAGCAAGCTAATATCAGTCTTGCTTCAGAGATAAAAGGATCTTCTGTCCTTCCCCCAGGGCCACAGAACTGGCTACAGGATGAAGATGTGGCAAAAACTGGGCCCAGACCAGACTGGCTGGGCGGTCATCCCCCAAACTCCCAAATCTTTTCTTGCTCCTCAGATTCTGAAGGACCACCCCAGGGCACATGTAGCTTCTGTCCCAGCTGCAGAGTCATTGAGATAGGTGGATCATAGCTGGAAAGAGGTGCCTACAGTGTGAGGCCACTGGAACTTTCATGTTTGCACAACTTGGGGGGTGGGGGAGGGGGCCGTCTTTGATAGCATCCCATAGCAAGGCCAGGACAGGTGGTGGGCTGGGCCTTGTGGCCCGTGGCTGAAGCACTGAAGCATTTGGTGGTGTTGGAGCCAAGTGAGGGCATGGAGGCAATGACAAGCTCAGCCAGAACCTAAGCTGGGATAGACAGAAGCAGGAAAGTCCAGTGGAGCAGGGATGCAGGACCCCAGCCTGGTGTCATCATGATGTCTTCCCAGCTAGGAGCGCATCAACGCCTCTGCCTGTGGCTGGAGGCCATTTCCAGGTAGCCGCCTACACGGACCCTCACTGCTACTCCTTGGCAGCACAGTGTGGGGGGTCTGGCTTGGCCACAAAACCTGGGGAGCAGTGGCAGCGGTAGGAACCCTCTGTGTTCTCGCAGTGACCATGGGCGCACAGTGCAGCAGGGCCATTCAAGTCATCGCATTCATTCACATCTAAGTGGAAGGGAAAGAGGAGAAAGTTAGGGGGAGCTCTCTGTCCCTCTGGTCCCTAAGCCCTAACCCCTGCCCTGTGGTGGAATCCTGCGTGTGACAGCAGAGGCTGAATCACCTCCCCAAACCAAGCAACTCAAGGACAAAAAGCAAGGGGAGGTGACGCTGCAGCGAGCCCAATACCATGCCCTCTCTCCCTTGCCTTGAGTGTAGCTCATCGTCTGGGAGCAGCCTGGGAAGCGCTGCGTCAGACCTTCCTTTGGCTTGAGGCCGGGCAGCCCACTAGAGGGCGGCAGCGGATTTCTCAGCCGTTCCAAGTCCATTCGCGTCTCTGGACAGGGGCGGGTCTCATTTCCCATCAGGACTCAGCGCTTACCCACGCAGGCCATGTGGGCTGCATCCAGCTGGAAGCCCTCGAAGCAGTCACAGGTGTAGCCCTCCCGCACGCGCACACAGCGTCCATTCTCACAGCCGTTCAGGATGCCGCACTCCTCTGCCTGAAGCCCTTCGAAGGCAGCTGGGGGATCTGGTGAGGGGAGTTTGAGAAAATCAACTGAGGCCTCCTCCCTCCGGACCAAAGAGGGGGTGAACGATGAGAGTGAAGATGAGCAGGGGTGGGTCCCAGATTCACACAGGAAGTTAATAAAGCAGGCCACACTATGCCAGATTTTATATGAGAGGTCCAGGAAGGGTAAGGCTTCACAATGGCCAGCTCCTGCCCAGTTGCAGGTTTATGTATAGTTTTGGGGTTTGGTGCGGGGAAGATACGTTATTTAAATCTTTGCATTTGCTTTGGGATTGCAGAGTTGGCAGCAGAGGAGCCTCACAGAACAAAAGCAAACCTGATCTGCCTTATCCTCTTCTCTTCCTGAGCATCTTGAACTCTAAAAATGACCCCATCTCCTGCGGTCGGGTGGTCTTAATCAGTCTGACACAGTGGCTGCACTGTGGCGGGTATTGTACCTACCACACAAGGGCCAGGCCTGACTTCCTCTGGAGGGTCCAAAGCCTGAGTGCTGGGGTCATGGCATCCACAAACTGGGGAGTCAGCACAGTGGACCATTAAGGTCACTAGAAATCCTTAATTCACATTTCAGGTCACAAGTTTCCTTGGAACCCAATGTTCTATATCCTGTAAGCGGTGTGGAGGAGAAGACAGATGGCAGCATGCCACTTCCTGTCGATCCCAACTCCCACAGGGAGGCTTTCGAGGTCAGGACAGTGTCCTGTATCTCTTTGTGTCCCTATGCTGCTTCATCACAGGGAGTTGGTAGGGCCTGAACCAGGTTAATGTGTTAAGTGACCCATCAGCAGAGACATCTAGCTTTCCCTTCCCTTCCCCAACCCTGCTGGCAGTATGACTGGAAGGTGGGGAGATGAAAGGGAAACAATCTAGAGCCCACCTCTTCCCCATTTTTTGCAACATACCTGGATGGCTAGCCACATATTGGGGCTGGAGCTCGGAGGGCTGCAGGGGTGGCTCGAGGACCAGACTGGGGCTCCCTGGGTTTCTGGCCGTGTTGGAGAAGGGGGGCTCAAGGACGCTGTCCTCTGGACCCAGGTAGTTGTAGAAAGGGGCTCCATCTGGGCCATAAAGACTGTAGTGCAGGTCATCTGGGCCAGGACCGTACTCATAGCCTGGCCGGAAGTGGACCCCGGCCTCCCGCTCTGCCTCAATTCGGGCCACGTTGCACAGCTGAGCATAGACCTCTGTCGGGGAGGAGGGAGAGAGGGTGCTGGGCTCCAGCTCCTGCGGGCTAGAGCCTGGCTAGCTGGTTCTCTCAGCAAACTCCCCCAGGAGAAGGGGCTCTTAGGAGACTGGTATCCACTGGGAGCTCTGGCAGTACTCCCTCCTGCTGTCCCCAAACCATGGGGATGGAAGACAAGGCCACTGCTCTGCCCTATTCCTCTTTTCCAAGGTCGGAAGCATGTCCCCCTCCCCAGGTTGGGCCTGGTCTTGCAGGGAACCCCTCACCAGAGCTTCTGGGGGGACACAGAGCACACTGCTGGCTCCAGGCCTCGCCATCCTGACAGCAGCATTCTGTGTAGGTGGTCTGGCGCCCGCGCAGGGGTTGGCTGCACACGTCATTGGTGACTTTTTTCCAGCAGATGTCCACGTGGATGTCATGGTCAGGCAGGTCCTCTGGTGGCACAGGCCCCAGAGGCATGTGAGCCTTAACCCAGGCCCACACCCCCTGTGGCCCGCACCCAAGGCCACTCACCCATGCCGCTGGTGCTGTTCATGCAGCGCTGCCCACTGAAGTCCAGGGTGAGCGGGGGGCTGCAGAAGCAGTGGAAGGAGCCTTCTGTGTTCACACACTCACCATTCTCACAGGCCATGTCCTGGCACTCATTGTGATCTGTGGTGGCAGAGACGGGGAAGTGGAGGAGAGGGTTAGCGACAGGGTGGCTTGTCATGGACTGAGCTCATGGAAGGGGCTTTCCTGCGATGGATCACAGAAGAGCTGCCCCTCTCAGCTGCCCAGGGACAAGCTCTGAGGGCCCAGAGTGTCCCTCACCCAGACATGCCTGCTGCTCAGACATTCTCAAAAGGGACTGGCTGCCCGGGGCCGGAGTGGGCAGGGCCAGGTCAGTCCTCACCCTCACACTGCCCACGGGAGACAGAGTAGTGGTAGCCAGGATTGCACAGGCAGATGTAGCCGGGTACCGTGTTGAGGCATCTGCCATTCTGACAGAGTGCTGACCCAAACAGCATACACTCATCAGCATCTGTGGAGGGCAGAGGAGGTGAGGGGAAGAGGAGAAGTGGTAGGAGGCAGTTCTTACAAGCAGAGGCTCTAAATCTGGACTGCCTGGGTTTGAGTCCCTGCCCTGCCACTTAGGAGTTGACTGACTTTGATCAAGTGGCTTATGTTCTTCTTGCCTCAGTTTCCATATAAAAAGTAGCTAACCACTTAACCTCTTCTAGTTGTCATGAGGCTTAAAGGCTCCACTACATGCAAAGGTTAAAATAAGTGCTTGGCACAAGGCTGCACTCAAGAAAAACTACTTCTGAGGCCCAGGGTGTAGCTCAGTGGTGGAGCGCCTGCCTCGTGTGCCTGAGACCCTGGGCTGTCCCCTGTACCACACACATACACACAAGCTATTTCTACTTGTTTACTTCCTTCTCAGGACTAACTTTAGGACTAAGGCACTGAGGGGCTCCCCGGAGTTTCTGGACTAAGGTACTGAGGGGCTTCCTGGAGTTTCTGGCTTGGAGAGTGGAATCAGAGAGATAGGTCATTGCACCCTGCCTCTGTCCTTGGACCCACTAAGACAGGCATGAGGATTGTCAAGGAACCATTGTTTCTGAAGGGTACAGCCCTGAGCAAGCAGGGGAACTGAGATAAGATCAGGCCGACACTCTAGGAGAAGCTTCAAAACTTCAAGCTAAAACTGCAGGGAGTCACCCCCCACACCCCCCCCAAAAAAAACGATGGCCACCCCTGGAGGGTGGGGCTAGATGCAGGCTTTCCTAGGGACCTCCTGGAAGACCAGGCCAGGGCCACTCCAGCACATGGTGTCTGGGGAGGGCGTGGAGGGAGGTTACCTGTGTACATGGTCTGTGCAAAAGTCCAGTCTCCTTCCACAGGGACGTAGCCTTTCCCACTGGGGCAGAGCTCGCTGAATTCAACTGTGAAGGGAGGTGTCTAAGTCTAGAGATGGAGAGGTGCCCTGTTTCCTTCCCCCTCCTTTCAGTGTTACTCTAAGAGGATCCGGGCCCCTTGGGGTCTTACCAGAGTCCTCAGATGGGCAGAGGTCACAGGCGTCTCCCCATCGGGCACCTTGGGTGCAGCAGCACTCAGCCTGCGTGGAGTTGTGGCCCAGGATGCTGGAGCAGGGCAGATGGCCATCCTGCCCAGAGTAGCAGGCCATGCGGATGGGGCCTGAGGCATGGTCCCCTGTTGGGGCCTCAGAGATGCTCTGAGCTGTGTAATAGATGCCCCATTACTCCCTTTCATGACGTCTGAGGCCGCCCAAATCTTGTATGTAACTTTTAAATATAACATTTACACAGCAATCACAATTTATAAAATGCTGTTACCTATCTTATCATACTAGGTACTTTCAACAATCCTATGAGTGCGTACTATTATCTTTTCCCTGAAACAGCTTAAGAAACTAAACAGTAAAATTAGACAACTTGCCACAGCCACGCAGCTCTTAAGGATGAGGCTGGGGCTTGACCCCAATTTCTGACACCAAAGCCCCCGCTCTTTCTGTTCTACCTGCTTTCCTCCCTGTGGGGTGCTAACAGCTCCTGGCATGTAGGCAGCCTTCTGATCCATTCTGCCTCACAGGTACCAAGCCCTCCCCCCTTCCTGGTTCTCTACAAAATCCCCTTACTTTTCCCTAAGTCACTGAGGTCATCTGAGGCCTTCCCTAAGTCAGTGAGGTCCAGCCTAAGGTGAGAAGCTGAGCCTGCAGCTTTGGGAGGGGGGTGGCCAGGAGAGAGTTCAGCAGCATAGCTCAGGCTCAAGTCCTCCCTCAATGGAAGACTCATTCAGGGCTTGGGTGGATTTAGGGCCCCTCTAAGGCGCAACCGGAGGTCCCTGGGGGCACTTTGCATTGGTACCCTGGGTTGCCTCTGGGTGGTCACACCCATGCCTGGATGTTGTCTGCCTGAGAGTTGACCTTCCTTGTCTTGGCACCGGTAGAACTCAGATGCCTGCCCCTCCACACTCCATTCCCAGCCCAAACCCTGCTCAATCTTCCTGTCAGTGGTCTGAGGACAGAGGAGCAGAAGCCCTTTGTAAACAATGGAGTCATCGTGATAATGGCGGGATGGCAGGGCATTCCTGCGTGGCTTCCGGATCTCACCTCCAGCCACCCGAGGGCGGCAGAGCCCTTCTTGCGCGTCGTACTCCTCCATGTCGCTGGCACAGAGGCACAGGAAGGAGCCCTCGACATTCTCACAGAGTGCAGCCCCACACACGGCGAGCATGAGCTCACACTCGTTCACATCTGCCGGGCATGAGGACAGGCATGTGGGTGGAGACCAGGCAGCCTGCGCCCTGCCTCTGACTCCTGCCCAGCCACAAGTCCTTCTTCCCCCAAAGAACCATGCTACAGGCCTGGCCAGAAGGAAGCAAAAGTGGGTGTGAATTAGCAGGGAGGCTGGACAGGTGGGCAGAGGGGCTGGGAAGGAAGAGAGGAGAGGAATGACAGAAAAAGAGGACTGTCCCTCTGTGCCTCCTGTAAACATGGCGCCTCTAGCCGCAGGCCCCAGGGAAGGAGAGGCGGTGGTAGCAGTGCTGAGGTGAGTTGGGGGTCCTTCTCCTGTTTGCTCCACCTGCTGGCAGGACTTGGCCATGCTTCCCTGTCCAGGCCAGCAGAAATGGCAGTTACAAGGAGCTATTGAAATTTCTTCCTCCAAGTTTCCTTCATCCCCCTTTTAGGAACCCATCATGGAGCCATGAGACCCTGAATGTTTCAGGAGGAGACTCCTAGGACTTCCCTTCAGGACAGTTGAGACCCATGGAGGTGAGAAGGGCCCAAGGGCCTTCGCTGGCTCAGATCTTGGGTAGCCCGAAGGCTTCTCACCAATACAGTCCCAGCCTGAGGGTGAGGTCTCGAAGCCTTGGTCACAGAGACAGCGGAAGGAGCCATCCGTGTTGTCACAGAAGCCATGGCTGCCACACACGGTGTCATTGGCACATTCGTCTATGTCTATGAGAAAGGAGGGCACCCAGGGAGAGGGTGTGAATGTTCTCTTTACTGAGAATACTTATCTGGTCTGTCAATACTAAGATATGTGAACAGCAGTTTCTGAACGCAGGACACAGAAGCTCTAACGGTAACATTACTTTTCAGCTTTTGCATAAAGTCTGCTCTATGGAAAATACATAAACTTCGAACATCTGCACAGCCAGGGCCCACAGGAGAAAATCATTTGTAGCTCAATACAGGCCAGATGTGCTCGGCCCTCCTGCCTCCGACTCCCGCCTCCTACTCACCAATGCAGTCTCCAGTGGGGGCCATATAGAAGCCAGGCTGGCAGCCCGGGACACAGCGGTAGGAGCCAGGGCTGTTCTCACACTTCCAGGCCCCACACACTGGCTCCGCGTAGTCCTCACACTCATCCACATCTGTCCCCAGAGCCAAGAGAGGGCACAGATGTGATCAGGCTGCTGTTCTGGCCCCACCTTGCTAACATTACAAGGTCCTGTCCCACAACCTCTAGTCTAGTGTCCTTGATTTGTTCCAAATTACTGTGGTCATCTCAACCCCGCCTTGTCAAGTTCACGATCATTGCCCTGGCCCAGCAGGCCTGAGCATTTAGGAAGAGAACAGTATGCTATTTAGGAAGAGCTCCTGGCCTTCTGTGACACTCCCTTCCCTCCACTGTCTCCTGTCCCCAGCAGCAGAGCACTTTATACTTCTCTCTGAATTCAGTTTTCACGGCAGTGAACTGCAGGGAGTGGTCTCTATAACTGTTCGTCCTAGCAAATACACTGAGCGTAGCCGGTGTTTAATATCAGTTTGGCCTTTCGAACTAGATTGTGTGCTCTGCCAGCACAAAGATTATGACTGTCTTCATGCTGTCAGCCTCAGACGGTGCCTGAGCCAGCAGAGGCTTGATAAATGCATTCTCTGCTGGAAGGCTAATCCATGGAAAGCGTTCTGCTTCCCTCCCAGAGGAAGCGGCAGTGCCTTGTTCCAGGGAGCCGAGGACCAGAGCGGGTGGGCAGACGTGGGGCAGGGGCCTGGCCACTCCCTTGCAGCCCTTACCCACACACTGCCCGCTCTCTGGGGAGGGCCGGAAGCCAGCCTCACACAGGCAGTTGAAGGAGCCCTCGGTGTTGACACAGTGCCCGCCCAGACAGGGGTCTGCGGCTGCGCACTCATCCACATCTAGAGTAAAAACATTTGTCAGCAGACTCAGCCATGGGTCCCTTGCCTGCCAGGTCCCCATAGAGCCCTCAGGAGCCACCCAGGAGGGCCAGGGAAGTGGCTGAAGTGGAAAAGGAAGAACCAAGGGAGAGTGCAGAGCTGGAAACCACAGGCCGTGCTGGAGTTGGGGGTGCCAGGCTCTGTCAGGGAAGGAGGGTACAGAAAGAGCTTGGAGAAGGTGCACGCCTGCTTCAGATGTCTTGATGAGAGGCTTCAAGTCCCTCCCCAGACACCTGGCTCCCATGCATCTGTGTGAGGCAGTGAGCATTTTAGGTTCTTCTCAGTACTGGTGTTCTGATGTACCCCACTCCAGCACAGCCTCCAGCACCCCTGCTGCTGCCCCCTCATGGCCATGCTGTGTCTCACCCTGACAGCTCGTGCCCCCCTCTTCACTGGCAAAGCCAGGTGCACAGAGACAGAAGAAGGACCCGTGGCTGTTGAGGCACTCGCCATGGGGTGCACAGTGCTCCTTCCCCGTGCACTCGTCCACATCTGAGGGAAGAGACAGCAGGGGGTGTCTCTGGGGTTCCCAGCTTCCCACACACTCGCTGCTCCCAGCCCCAGTGGGGAGACGTGAGTGCTCACCCTCGCACACAGTGCCATTGGCCAGCTGGAAGCCCGGAGGACAGAGGCACTGGTAGGAGCCTGCCGTGTTCTTGCACTCGCCTCCCAGGCAGCTGCTGTGGGGGTCTTCACATTCATCCACATCTGCGGGGCCACACAGAGGAGGGAGGCAGCTGACAGTGGCATCTCCCAAGGACAGAACTGAAGGGGAGGACTCCCAAGACCTGTCACCTGCCCAGAGAGGCTGGACCCAAAGGGCCATTCCACCCTTACAGAGCAGCGCAGCTGGGGGGAGCTGACAGGGCACCCGGGGGAGCAGGATGAAAATAGCCCTGATGGCTTGGGCCTGCTCTGGCTGGGATCCTCCACTGTGGTACTGTCCAGCAGCCCTACCCCTGTCGTGGCTGAGGGAGCTCAGATTTCACGGAGACACAATGGGAAAGGAACCAAGGAAACAGACACGGAAGCCTGAGACTGCTTGGTACAGGCTAGTGATCTGGCAGCAGCCACCCTTACAAGGAATGCCTGGGGAGCTTCTCAGAACAGATTCCAAGGCCCCTCCAGAGTCCAGAGGCTGAGTCTAGAACAGGACCAGGAAGCTGCATGTTGAACATTGCCCCACAATGATGCTAACATGCACTGAGGCCTCTGAGCCTGGTTGGCTCAGGAACCCTAGGTTTACAGTTGCCTTTCTGACATCTATGCAGAGAGTGGTGAGAATAGGCCCTTGTCCCTTTCGCCACCCAGAGCATCATGTTTGTCCTCTGTATCCTGTCTGTGCTCCTCCCATGGGGGTTTCTTACCCTCACAAGTGCGGCCCAGGGGACTAGGCCGGTACCCCTCCTCGCAGTCTTTGCAGGAGAAGGAGCCCACAGTGTTGGTGCAGACGCCTGCCGGGCAGACTCCAGGGAAGGTACACTCATCTAGGTCTGGGTGGAGAGTGTGGTCAGGGACCCAGAAGGGCTGTTGCCACCCAGTGAGACCTGCACCACACATCTGGGCTCCTCTCTGAGCAGGGAGGACTCTGAGCCCCCAGAGAAGGGCAAGACCAACATCTCCTCCCTAGGAAGCTCCATGGGTAGCTCTACCCTCAGTTTCCCTTGTCTCTGTGGCCTCCTGTCTCTTCTGCTCTCCCTGTTGAGCTTGGGAAGTGACACAGAAGCGGCCCTTGGGGAAAAGTCCCTTCAGGGCCTCTCTATTCTAATTTAGGGCCCCTCAGCGCCAGCCCAGCTTTGGGGAAGTGAGAAGGCCTCTGTTTGGTTCATTCTGCCACCGCCTCCCCAGGGCTACCTTCACAGGCAGTGCCATCTTCATTCACCCAGTACCCGCTCTCGCAGGCAGTGCAGGTAAAGGAGCCCTCGGTGTTGAGGCAGAGGCCTTTGGGGCAGGAGGCCCGGCTGGCACATTCGTTCACATCTGAAACAGGCCATGGAGTTCTGAGTGGGACTGCAGGGCAGACATCCCAGGACCAGAGTGGAGCATGGGCAGAGGTGTGCTGGGGCGTGTGGGTGGGGATGCATGAGCAGGGGTGCACGGGGTGGGGGCATGTGCAGAAGGAAGGAGCCACAGGATTTGCCTGTGGAAAAAGGGTGCTTCAGCCTCTTTGTACCTTGACAGCCCTTCTTGTCTGAGGTGACTTCGTAGCCCTGCTCACAAGAGCATCTAAAGGAGCCTTCTAGGTTGATGCACCGTCCGTGGGCACAGACCCCAGGGGTCAGGCACTCGTTCACATCTGTTGGAGAGAAGCCCCGGATGAGGCTGAACCTCTCCTCTGCAGCCATCTTTAGCTAGGGAATCAGCATTCAGAGGGGCTCTAGCCCTCATTCCACCCAGGCAAGGCAGGGTCCCTTCTGTCCGAGCTCCCCTCAGCCACATTTAGAACACAGAACTCTGCATACATCCTAGAAAAAGAGGCCAGGTTCCCAGGCTGGTTTGGTCCATCTGAGGACACTAGAAATGAGGTGTCCAAAGGCTTTGAATCACCTCATTGTGTGTCTGAGTCTCTCTAGTCTCCTACCTGCAACCAAACAACCCATGTTGTTCCCAGCCCACAGCCAGCTTCAATAAGTGGGTGGGCAGCGTGGAGAGGCCAACCAGGCCTGAACAGCTGTGGCAGTCTCAAGGGCCTGGGAACCGCCTGCCCTCTCCAGAGCCTCAAAGCGTCTATTGAAACTACGGTCCCTCCTAACATTCTGAACCCCAGTCCCTCCTTCCTTCGAGGGCTGAGGGAAAAGGACACTTCCCTCCTGTTCACACGCACCCCCGCCTCTAGAGGGAGAGGGACAACCACTGTTGAATGCTGTTAGGACAGAAGGACAGCAGGGCCTGGCTGCTGGCTTTCACCAGCAGCCTCTTCCCAAGACCAGGACTCCCCACCCCACCCCAGAGAAGCCAGCCACAGAAACTCCTGAGACCTCGGGCTATAGCTTCAAATGGATGTGGCCAGGGAACGAGGCCCCCACCCTGGCTGATTCAGAGGGCCGAGCACCATAACTGAAGCACACCCATGTCATGCCCAGCGGGCCTGCGGAGGACAATAGCCTCCAAGCCACTTCCCTCTGCCTGCCTCCGGCCCTCCCTGTGTGTGGGCTCAACCAGCAGTCCCAAGGCGGAACAGCCCTCTGGGTGCCTTGGCAAGCAGCCCTCACCTACACAGCTTCCACTCTGGCCCCTGTAGCCTTCCTCACAGGCCAGGCAAGTGTAGGAGCCCGGGGAGTTGACGCATCTCCCATCAGGACAGGTGCCAGGCTGACGACATTCGTCGATATCTGTAAAACAACAAAGCCCCTCCCTGGGTCACCCTGGGAACCACAACCCACGGGTAGCTCCATGACACAGCGGATCCTTGACCCGCTTTTGGTTGAGGAGAGGGCTGTTATTGTCTGTATTGATGAAAACAAGGAAAAAATGAGACTTTCCCTGTGTTCTCAACTCTACCTCCCACGCACTGTCCTGCCACAAGAGAGAGATGGAAGAATTTAAAAATGAAAGAGGGAGACTCTGGGTGGGTGCATGGGCTGTGGTTACTGGCGCTGCGGGAGGGTCAAAGTGCTATTTTGTGAGAGGGCTGTTTGGGGAGGGCCTTCACGGCTCCCTTGGTGAGCTCCTAACCCTTTACAAGTGGTGACCATCGCTGGAACTGGTTGTGCTTGACACCGCAACCTGTGGGACTGTTGCCAGAGATCACCAGAGAGGTGGTGAAGGGAAAGTGAGCTTCCCTTCCTCAGGAAATGAGGACGGAGAATGAACCGTCATCTCAGACATGGCCTAACTCAGCCTCGAAGCTGAGGGTCGACCAAAAGGTCAAGGCTGGCATGGATTCCCTGCTGCAGAGGGTCAGACCTTTTTTCCAGTCAAAAGGTGCAGGAGTCTTGGAGGCCACTCTGCTGAGATCTGAGTACAGCAGAAAGGATGAACCTGGGCTCCAACCAGACAGGCAGGGAGACGAGTGACAGCAAGGGGGAGGAGGGGAACCGTTATCCTAGGAATTGAGTGTGGAGTTCTTCCCCAGTAACTTGGCCTACTGGGAATCCATCATTCAAGGTACCTAGGGGACCTGGACTGAAAAGCTGAACTCTGGGTCAAAACTGCAGGACATTATGCCTCTCTTGCCCAATGTCAAGTCTCCTGCTCATCATTCCTGACAGATTGCCAAGCTCTAAAGGAAACAGGAACATTCATTCTTCCTAAATGGGCAATTATCACCCTCCTGGAGGAAGTCCACTACTTGTGCAGACTCAGAGGCCCCCTGGCAGAAGGAAGATCTACTCAGCACCCATGGAGAAAACATAGGAGACAGGCCAAAGGGCAGAACACAGGCCTTCGGCAAAGGCACTAAAGCCAAGAGCTGACGCTGCAGAGCAGGATGTGGACGCAGACAGAGAGTGAAGCCAAGGCCCTGTGTGGTTGTTTGGTCTGCAGAAGTGAGGACACAGGCATGTCTCTGACCCAGGGACCTGAGGTCCGCTTGACCCCAAGGATTCAGAAAAGGGATGTAAAGGATGGTGGGGGTTCAGGTGAGTATCTGCAAAGAGATGCCCACAGTTCCTAGGTAATGTTGGGACACTGAGACAAGGCTCATCTTTGGAACCCATAGTTGTGTTATGATAACATCAGGTTAAATTATTCTAAGATGTAAAGACAAGATGGAGAAAATGAAGGATTTGGGACCCCAATTTAGATTCTGCACTCTGGAGAGTGCATCCAATACCATGGCCTTTTGGCCCTGGCTGAGGTACCTAAAAGAGGACCACAAGGTTATTAATTACTTCAGGGATGCAAGACCTTGGGGATGAACATAAAGACATTGATGGAGGGGTCTTCCTAAATCTATAATGAGAAAGAAATAAAGTCCTGGGCCTCTCTTGCAGGGATCAAATAATGCAGGAAAATGAGGATTGCCTGAACCTGTCTTACCCTTAATGTGCGGGGCACATCTGCAGGAGGTGACACAGGCAGCACCTGATACTGAGCATTTGGAGAACTGTACTCATTCACGCTTTCCACCTTCTGGCCATGGGCTTATACCTCTTGGTCCATTGTGGTTGGGTAGAACCATCAGCCTAGGGCAGGCCAGTGAGCTAGGAGTGGATATGGCACGTGCGATTTATGGAACGAAACATTCATTATGCACAGTCCCCTAGGGCACTTTTTCCATGGAGACTGGCCACATTCCAGAGACTGGCAATTGCTTTCACCAACTTCAAGGGTAGGGAAACATGGGGCAGAATCCCCACTGACCCCTGATGGACACAAGGCATGGATGAGATGTAAGCTTGGCTGTGCTCCTCATCACTAACATGGGAGTTGTTTGTTGATGCAGCATCTATCTCAGAATACCACTGCCAGCTTCCTTCCTCGGACCAGAGCCCCAAGCAGCAAGGATCATGTATGAGAATCTGTTAGCAGGTGGAAAGACAGCAGAAGAGCAGGGGAGTGCTCGGTCTCCACTGAGCCCACAAAGGGTTCTTCTGAATGAGAGTATATACAAATTAGCCTTTAGCCCAGCCAATCCAGGGAGCCTAATGAATGTTCTAGAAGAAGTGGGTTCCATCGCCAGACATACTGAAGCTGTTCCACCAACTTCTTGGTGCCTGAGCTGGGGCCAGTGAGGAAGGTGGAGAATTTTAATCTAAAATTAAATGAATTTTAACCTAAGATTAAGAAGTATGTTTTGGGGGGGTTTCAATTCTCTGGTTGGTGGCAGGAGCTATCGGATTATGCCCAGCCCACAGCTGGTACACAGCTGGCACAGAGCTGGAACTCAACAACAGTTTGCTGTTCAAATAGTATGCCCAGCACTTCACCTGTCATGCTCTTGGTATAAGGCTTCTGGAGAGATGCCCCACAGGACCCATGGAAACCGTCACGCCAGAGGCCAGCTTGCCAGTCTGCTGTCTGCTGTTGCCTGGGAGGATCCCTGAACTTCTCTGCCTAGGTATCGAGGAGATATAAAGGTTCTTGTGGGAACACAGAGTAGGGGTGAGGAGGCCACTCAGGCTTGGCTCAGCAGCTCTGGGGACCTCAGATGTGGGTGGGGGACAGTGAAAACCCTGGCAGCCTTCAGGAGAATCCATCCCTGTCCTTGGGAACCCAGCGTCCTGGTACGACGGGCATTGACACTGTTGCATGGGCTGCTGTCCAGACCACTCAGAATTTCACCAGAGACTTTGGGTTTCAGTGCAGAGAGCGGTTTCTTTGTTGGAGAAAGAAGAAAGAGGCAGAGGAAATTGACTGGGCTCCCGGGGTGATGGGCCGGGTCTGTGGTTACTGATGGAAACCTGGAGAAGTGTGCAGACTACATCATTCTTTCTTTCAACAGTCCCTGAGTGTCTGCCCAGGGCCAGGAACTCTGCCTGACCTCACAGACGAGGTGCATGTCTAGAATCTTTCCTCTAGATGGGAAGGAGATGGTCCAGAGGAGGGTGATGCGGGAGGAGGGATCCACCCAAGAAAAGAACAGGGCTCTCTGACGTCTTTGCCCTGTTTGCCCTGTTTACTTGGGGTCTGTGCGTGCCAGAGATGGGCGGGCCACCCTGGTGTCTTAGCTTATCCTGTCCATCCTCACTAGAGCTGCCGAGATGGACATGATGGTTTCCTTTTCCAGACATGAGACAAGAGCCAGACCCAGGCCTGTCTGCGCCACAGCCTGTGCCCTTAGCACAGACTGGTTTGGATAAATCTGATATTTTAATGCTCTGGTATTTTCTTAGTTCATTTCCTTTAGTTTTTCTTTTCAGTGAACTCTGATGTCAAATTCATAATATTGCTTTGATACTTAAAAGAGGTGATCTGTCAAGCACATAGCACAGCTACTGGCACATTGTGGGCACCCTCAGGTGGTGGTGGCCTTCAGCCTCTGGTCACTTGGAAAATACCAAGTGTCTTCTCTCCTCTCTAATGAGGACAGAGGGAGTGAGTCTGGTTTCGATCATGCAGAGGTCTGAGTTTTACACAGGGAATATCTTTTTATTTTTTTTGTCTTTTTCATTTTTATCAGTACCGGGGATCGAACTCATGACCACCTGCTTGCAAGGCAGGTGCTTATGCCGCTGAGCTAAATCCCCAGCCCCTACACAGGGAATATCTAAAAGAGGCATTAGGAGAAGGTGACACCCGACACAGTTGTTTTCCTATACCTGTAGCCACCTCTCCCATTTGCTAAGACCTCTGAGGACTCTGGGCTTTGCTTCTATGGTAAAGGCATTGGGAAAGGGCTCTGTCTCTTCACAGCTACCCAAACTCATCCCTTACCTCTAGGATCTGGAAAGTCCTGACTGGGATCCTAAGCTTGAACCCTGGGCAGATTTGCTTGTTTTGTTTTCACAGAGAGCTTTGATTTACCCTCACTTATGCCAGTTTTAACCAGTCCTGGGGCATATGACTTAGTCCTTCTGTAAGCATTTGACACCCCAGCCTGGCAGGAAGGTGGTAGTGTCACAGATGCCAGGTTTTCAGAGCTGCTGTGATGGTGGCAGGCTTAAGCCATTCCACAAAGAGACCAGTGGGCCCTGTTACCACCATCACTGTTTACTTCCATCTGGGAAAGGGGAGGAGGATTTGGAATCCATTCATTCGTTCATTCATTCATTCACTCATTTGCTGGATGTTTATCAAGCATCCATTCATGGGTCATCTAAAGATATGATTGAATCTCAGGAGCTCACTGTCTAACAAGCTCTAGCAAAAATGCCAAGGCTTCTGGATAGATGGATTCTTCCTCCACCATATAAGGAAAGCCTGTTTTTCAAAGTAAGGAAATAGAGATTTTCCCTAGATGACATGTAGGGGACAGACAGGATGCCAAAAGATTAGCAAGGCAATGGAAAGACTCAGGGATTCACAGACACGTTTTTGTCCACAGGAGTGGGCTTAGCACCAGTGGACCCAGTGAGAGACAAGGTGTGGGCAGTGTGTGGGGTAGCGGCTGACTTCGTGTCCGCTTCCTCCTCTGGCAGCCGCCCTTCCTGACCAGGGTGTAGCCAGGATCACACTCACGGTGGTAAGCACCTTTGGTGGGGTGCACTGCCTCCCACCTCCCCGCCCTGCACACTCCTGCTGCTCACACCACCATGCATCTGTGAACACACAGGACAGTCCTGACTCAAAGCCAGCCCTGAAGGGAGTCCTGAGGCACCCTTCTCACAAGGACACCATGGCAAGGCCAGGTGAGGAAGACAGGCTTGTTGTGGCCCTGGTTGGCTGGAGAGGTGAGGACTGAGACCAACAGGCTCCTGCTGGCCGCTGACTCCCTGTCTCCCAGGCTGGCTACTGCAGCTATCTCCTCATGTGAGGGCGGTCTTGTGATCATGGCAGTCCAGATGGCATGATCTGAGGGGGACAACAAAGTCCCCCTGCACCCAACTCCAGCACAGTAGACATTGGGTCTACTCCTGCGGTTCTTCTCAAGGACCTTCTTAAAGGTTAGGTAAGCAGCCAGAGAGAGAGAGAGAGATAGCATTTTAGGCCACCAAGGAACTGCAGGGAGTGGTTGGTGTCACTGTCCAAAGCACACTGGTGCCCCAGTATAACGGTCACATCACTCCCCGCCTAATCCCTTGCATGGTGTCCCTGCCACCTGTGACATACTTACAACTTGGCTCACAGCCTGGCCCCAGCCTTGCTATAGTTGCCGATTTGCTCACAGCCCTTAGTGAGCCTTAGCTATAGATTCCCACTGGCCCAGCCTCCAAGCGTTTGTTCATACAAGTGCCTCTCCTGGAATTGTCTTTCCTCACCTCTATAGTCAGCAGATTCCTACCACCAGCTAATGGATCAACTCTGGGTCCTGCAACCACTTTCCATTCCATACCCCAACAGGCATATTCGTCAAGGTCTCGTGTTTGCTCCTCCCCTGCACTGGTTTTAGATACGTCACAGAATCTTAACGCAGATTGAAGGAAGTAACTCGGGTGAAAAGCTTAGCATAGTACCTATCCAGCAGCAGTAAGCACTGAAGGACCGCCGGCGATTATTATTCTAGCAGTAAACCTACCCCACAGAGTCTAAGCTCCTCAGCCTGGCACGGGAGATTTTTAATTCCCTGCCCCTGCCAGCTTCCTCGACTTGTTTCCTGCCTCCCTTACAATACTTGGTCACACAGGACCTGCCGTGGAGCCTCTACATATGTGGTTCCCTTGCCTGGAGTTGCCCCCCCCACCACCACTACCCTGCTTCACTGTGTCTTACTTCTCATTTGGAAAAGCTGGTTTCTCTCCTGCCTGCATGCTCCTTCCAGGGTTCCTTTCTGACCCAGCCCTTAGATTCCCTGACCTCTGGGAATGCGATTTCTTAATCTCTTACTGTGCCCAGTAAGTTCTTGCTAAAGGAATATGATACTGATCATTTGTTTATGGACGGTGTTTCCATCTGAGCAATCATTTGAAAAACTCCATTGCGCAGCTAAGTTGCTGGTAGAGGTGTCACACGCAGAGTCCAGGTGCCCCACATGCCAAGCCTGTCGCTGCAGAGCAGGGCGAGCTCGGGAACCTGCAGCAACTCAGGAGTAACTGGTCTTCATTTTGAGAAGCTCCAATCCCAGTGAAGACAAAAGGGAACTCACAGACAGCGCTGTATGTGGGACTTGATGAAGAGCCCTAAGTGGGGTGGGGGGCCAGAGCACTCTGAGGTGGGAACACCAACTCCTGGAGTGAGAGAAGTGGAAATGGGGGCTGGGTTCTTGATGCCCACACAGAGGGACCCCCAATCGGCTAAAGCATCCCATACAAGCAATAATCTTAATGAAAGAAAGCCTAGGGAGGCTGAGGCGAAGGGAATTACAAGTTCAAGTCCTGCTTTGGCAACTTAGCAAGATTTCAAAAAATATCTTTTTTTAAAGGCTGGGGATGTAACTCTGTGGTAGAGCACCCCAAATTCAATTCTCAGTACTGAAAAAAAAAAGTGTGTCTCATCTTTGTGACGTACAGGAAAGGAAAGATTTCCTGGGGAGGGGATTGAGACAAGGTCTCACTATGCGGTTCAGGCTGACTTTGAATTCACTGTGTAGCTCAGGCTGACCTCCAAGTCACAGCAACTTTCCTGCCTCAGCCTCATAAGTGCTGAGATTACAGGTGTGTGCCACTATATCCTTCAGGAAGGGAAAGACTTCTTAAAATCCCCAAAGCATTAAAAATAAGGCAAAAAGGGGCTGGGGATTTAGCTTAGCAGCATAAGCGCCTGCCTTGCAAGCAGGCAGTTGTGAGTTCAATCCCTGGTATCGATAAAAATAAAAAATAAAAAAAATTAAAAATAAGGCAAAAAGGTAATTTCAATACATCAAAAGTAAGAATTTCTGTTCAAAAAAGGACAGGAAGATAATGTTAAAGCACAGAGGACAAATGGGTGACTCATAATATCTAAACCAAGCTAAGCACCTAGAATACACAAGGGACTCCTAAAAAGCCACAAGAAAAAAAAAGCAACAAGTTTTCCAGTTGCTTTTGGAAAAGTGAGCCAAAGACAGGAACAAGCAATTTACAGATGAAACCCAAAAGCCAATGTGCCAAGAGATGCTTGCACTTATTAGTAATGTAAACATTTAAATGACTTATTATTTCTATGTATATTAATATATAAATAATAATAATGGTTTATATTAATTATACAAATTAATTCACACTTAGTTTTCATAAATGAAAACTAATTCATAATTAACTCAATATTAAATTAAGTCACTGAAATAATGAGGTATGACTTTATGAGACTGGCAAAATTTAGAAAGTGCATCTTCTTAATGCCAGTCAAGGGCTTTTCAAGTGGCAGCCAAGCCCCACGGGTAAAGCACTTTAGCTGGCCTCAGCCCCGCTCCTCCTCAGCTGTAGGGGCTGGCAGAGATATTTGGACACCTAGGCTGATGCAGAGCAAAACACTTGTCTGGGACCAGTCCTGGTGACACCCGTCCCTGCAGCAGCCACGGCCAGCTCCCTGCGATGTGTCTGCCCACAATACCTGCTCCAGCCTCCTCCTCTCCCCTGGACCTGCCAGGCTGTTGGGAGCACTGCTGCCTGAGGCACCTCCCTGGTGGCCAGCTGACCCAGTCACCACTCTTCTGCTTACAGACTCTCCTGGCTGCCACTGCCCATGGGACTGCATCCAAGCTCTTTAGCCTGGCACCCAAGTCACTTTCCAAACTGGCCTCCACTCCTGCCACTTCCTGCCTGGAGACCACGATCCAGGCACCCTGACGTCATCACTATTCCCAGGCCTGCCAGGCCTGTTCGCCACTCTGGTCTCTGCAGAGATGGCTCCCTTTGCCCGGAGCACCCTCTACTTCCTCTGTTTCTGTTCATGCTCCACGGTGGTGTCCGATACCCTGCATACAAGGGAGTGCATCGCTGGAAGCCGGCCGTGCTTTGGAGCTGCAGTGACTGTGATTCTATTTCCAGTTGTTCCATAACTAAGCGTGAGGCTCCTGAGTGTTTTGGTTCACCTGAGGTTCACTAAGCTCTAAAGTGGGTTTGAATGATGAGCTTTGTATCATAAAAATACTTGGTTGTAAGTGCTTGTTAAATAGTAGCTATCATGCTGTCCCCTTCAAGCACCCTCTGGGAAATCTTCTGAAATCCACTCCTGGGGAGCCAGCTGCTTGCTCATCTGGCTCCCCCAGAGTCACCATTCACACTCACCCATCTCAGTGTCCTTGGAGCTTTGCACAGTGCCCGGTGTACATAGCCTGTGTGCAGTGCCTGCGTGCTCACTGAGTGACTCACACAGCAATCCCACTCTTCCACCGACTTGGGGGTCATCTCCTCTCCCTCGCTTCCCCCCATAATCAAGTGAGAGCTAATGAGCTTTGGTTCCTGTAGGCCAGATCCTTGGGAGGATGATGAGTTGAGGGCATCTTGGCATGGGAGGATATGCAGCTCCCCTGGATAACCTGGGGGGCTCTGATGACCACTGAGCTGCCCTGGCCAGATCCAATAATATAAACCCCAAGAAGAGACAATGCCATGCTTGAGGTGAAGACTTCTCAATTGGTTAGAAATCTTTTTTTTTGTTTGATTTTTGTTTTTTTGAGATGAGGTCTCGCTATGTAGCTCAGACTGTCTTTGAACTCAGAATGATCCACCTGCCTCAGCCTTCTGAGGGTCGGGATTATAGGAATGTGCCACCACATCCAGCTTCTGGTTAGAAATCTTTGGGGGGGGCGGTTACCAGAAATCAAACACAGGACCTTGTGCTTGCCAGGCAGGTGCTTGTGCCATTGAGGTTATCCCTGGCCCTACCAATTAGAAATCTTAAGACACTGCTTCTATTTGTGAACACATTCATAAACATGTATGGGGACCACTCTGTTTTTAAATATGGAACACTTGATGAATTTATGTGCTGTCCTTGAGCAGGGGCCATGCTAAACTTCTCTACATTGCTCCCACTTTAGTACTTGTGCTGGAAAGCGAGCACCATTCTTCATTATTACGGGTTTGCACCAAGGGTCAGTGGGCCAGTGGGCCAGCCTTCCCAGGGAGAATCAATGGCCTGCAGGCGTCTCAAGCTCCTGGGGATCTGAGCTCCTCTCTCAAAGGTCTACTCCCCTGTCTGCTAGGAGTTCCAATTCTGCTTCCTTCTTCCCAAAATGAAAAATAGCTCCCTGTCACTCAAAACTTGAAACCTGGCTTTTGGTCCCCATCTCCAGCCAAATCCCTTGACGCCCTCTTGGCTCCAGTCACAATTCCTTGAGGGCTCTGCAAACAGTGCTGCCTCTTGGATTTCTTTCCCTCCTTGAGGTCTCGGCATAGCGTCAGCTTCCTTCCTGTTCCACACCAGAGTACTGTCTCTCTCCTCGGGGCTCCTTTCTAGCAGACTCTGAAGGCTATAAACACCTGGTTCCTTTTCCACCCTGACTGTGTATGGCCCAGGCCAGGCATGTTCTTCTGTGCCCATCCCAGGCCCAGGGCAGACTCAGCTTACCTTGGCACTCCTGTGTGGCCGCTGAGGTAGCCAGTGTGTAGCCAGGGTAGCAGAGGCAGGAGTAGGAGCCCACGCTGTTAACACAGTGCCCTCTTCCTGCACAGGGGTCCTTTAGACACTCGTTGTCATCTGACCAGGAGACAAGGAAGGAAGTTAGGGAGCCAGTATGCCTTCTCTGGGCATCTTCCAGAAACCCGCCCACGCTAGGGAATGGTGCTGTGTGATAGGGAGGGGTGAGGGGACAGAGGGAGCCAGGAAGATGAGAATCACTAGGTGTGGTGCAGCCTGTAATCCTAGCACTTGGGAGGCTGAGGCAGGAGGATTGCTATGAGTTCAACACCATCTTGGGCTACGTAATGAGTTCAAAGCTAGCCTGAACTGCATACTGAGACCATGCCAAGAAGAAGAAGAGGAAGAAGAAGAAGAAGAAGAAGAAGAAGAAGAAGAAGAAGAAGAAGAAGAAGAAGAGGAGGAGGAGGAGGAGGAGGAGGAGGAGGAGGAGGAGGAGGAGGAGGAAGAGGAGGAGGAGGAGGAGGAAGAGGAGGAGGAGGAGGAGGAAGAGGAAGAGGAGGAGGAGGAAGAAGAGAAGAAAGAGGAAGAGGAAAAGGAGGAAAAAGAACAAGAAAAAGGAAGTCTCTAGGCTAAAAGCCATAGGGTTGGCCCATCAGGCCCACTTAGGCACTAGGACCTGAGGTGACCTCCAGCATCCACTCCTTGCTCTTTGTCCCCTTCCTCCTGTGGCCTTGAAATTACGTCTTTTCTCTTTCAAAACCACAGTGGATGTTGCCTTTGCATAAAAATATTTCAAGGGGAGGAATGAGGCCCACTCTTGATTATCTTGGCCTCATCCTCTCTCTCCTCCAGGAATGGCCCTGGTGGAGCCCTCAGTCTGCTCTGCAGGCAGCAGCACAGTCAGTCTGAGGGTCGGGCTGATCTCAGGCCAGGTGCAGACCCAGGCCCGCTGCGATGGCTTCCCCTCTCCCGGAGCCTGGAGGCTCAGCAAAGATCCAACTGGCTTTGTCCATAGGGACTGCACTCCTAAGCTCATCAACCTCAGAGCACTGCCTAGACCCTTGACTCAGTTCTCTGCTCCCGCTCCCATCCACCCTGGCCACTAAATAGGCATAAGACACCCAAGTGAATACCCGTGCAGTAGGCCTGGCTGGGGTGCAGCCGGTAGCCAGAGTTGCAGACGCATCTGTATCCATCCGGGAGGTTCACACAAGTTCCAGGGCCACAGATGTTGGTGGCTCCAGAAGCACATCTGTCAGTGCCTGTGAGAGACAGCACAAGCAGAGGCTATGGCAGGGTGGAGAGTGGATGAAAGCAGTGGAACAGGGTGGGGAGAACCCTGGGGCAAGGGTCTGGGGACCAACAGGAGTCTACCCCTCAACTTTACCGCCCCCTCCCCCCATTCACATGAGGATGGCTTTGTGTAAGGCCCGTGAGACTTCCAAAAGCCAGGATGGAACTCACTGCTGTGTCCCTTTGATTAAGGCCTAACAAGTTCTAGGAATCTGCATTCACAGCAAATGGCCTCTCTGCTGAGGCCTGGAGCCTAACCTCATCCTGAATGTGGGCGTAGTTCGCACCTGTGGAGCCTGGTGGCTCCTACCCCCAGTGACTCCTGCCTACTTCCTCCCAGATGACAGATCTAGTGAGAAAGGTACATGGGGAAAGTCTAGGGCGAATGAGAGAGGAAGGACTGGGCAGAGTGAGCAGTCTTGAATGCTGCGTTGAGACTGGCCTGTGAGCCAGCGGGGAAGCCAAGGGGGTATGACCAGCGCTGTCACAGAGAGCCCCTAGGCAGCGAGATGGCAGATGACAGACAGTCCCAGAAACCTACTGAAATCATTTTAAGTGAGGGTCTGGCTTGGGAGGTGGTAATGAGGTACAAAGTGGCAAAGTAGGTGCTGAATTGAGAAACAGTTTAGGGGCAGACTTACGAGGCCTCAGGGCCAAGGCCACAGAGGGCAGCAATTAGATTTTTTTAAAATTGTGCTCCTAATACTAGAGAAGCACCTGACACATGTGCTAAATGAATGATTAGTGCTTTCAGCCTTTGTACCCACCCTGAGGTGTCAGCCACATATCCCCAGGGACCCCCAGCCTGCCCCCCCCCCCGAGAATCCTGAGCCCCAAGGAACGGAATGGAAGTAACCTGTGTTGATACAGAGGGCATTCACAGCGTTTATTAAACTGTACAGACTCAAATGCCTATGTGGGGCTGTTTGCAAGGCCACCCTCTCCCATGGCCCTGTTCCACATTTGTGGCACCCTGGGGGATCACAGAGGTCCCTAGACAGGTTCTAAATATCTCCCCTCAGGGTGAGGTGGTGGATGATGGAGGAGAGGGAAGATAAGACATAAGGCTAAGGCTGGTGGTGGTGGGGGCCCTGACACCCACGGAGCTGAGGGTCCACTGCTGAACCTGGCTTGGCTTCCCTGAAGGCCATTCTCACTGCAGAGACCCACTCCCCTACTGAGCCTTTCTGCCCAGCATGTGCTTCCTGCTGGGCACGGGACACGGCCTGGAGCTCCTGGGAGCCTTCTCTGAGCCCAAGGAAGGGAGGTCCTGGGAAAGGTCAAGGGGTATTTGCAACAAAATCAACCCCTACCCCCACCTTTACCTCCACTCCCTGGCCTGCTCCACCAGGCTGCAAGGGCTCTGTCTCTCTCTCTCTTTCTGTCTCTCTGTCTCTCTCTTCTCTGCTGGAGAAAATCTAGAACTCTCTTTACCCTTGCCTCCCACTCAAGGTGACTTGAATCTCAGGACTTCAGTTGAGAGCTAAGAGCACCCCCAGCTCCCGGAGCGGGCAGCCAGAAGGGCACACGCGTGTAGAGGAGCAGCTGCCACAGCACCAGCCTTGCTTCTTCTAAACCAAATGCCCGGACAAAGAGCCTTTGAGGAGGGCACATTCCGGAGCAAGGTGGATTTGCCAGCGATCTCCCCACACAGCCCTCGTCACTGTAGCTGAGCAGAGGGAGTAGAACGCAGGCTCTCAGGCTCTCAGAAAACTTGGGTAACACCCATGTTCCTTCCCAAAACAACCCTCCTTTGGACAGGTGGCTGATGCTGCCAGAGCTCTCACTAAGTCAGGAAAAACAGCCCAGAAAACATCCCCTCCATGTGTTCCCTTCTTTAGGATTCTCCGGAACCTTCCTTCCCCTGAGAAAGCCAGAACAGAGCTCACTGGCGATTGTTCATCTGGTTGGAGAGGCAAGAAAGGGATTCCATGCGTACTCTTGTTCTGGATTTGGCTCTAATCGGCCAAATGTCACAGGGTTGGCCGGCAGAGAGCCTCCAAAGGCTGGCTGCTGCTACCTGGGGGAGCTGAGGTCACCAGCACATCAGCAGAAGGGGCCATGTGCTCCTCTTCCTGGGTGTCCGGAACCCTCTGTTCAGGCAGCGGTGGTGTTGATCTTCCAATGGCATCCACTGCAGAGGGCAGAGGGGAGGAGGTGGGACCGGGGCCTCTGTGTCTGGCAATGGCCTCTCCTCTCCACTGTTCAGACTCCCAAGAAGTAGGGGTGGAGCCTAGCTGGGTCCCCTCCTGTGCCTCCTGAAACTTGACCCATACAGAGTCAGAAATCCAGAGCAAACACAGTCTCACCCTCTACTTCACAAGGAGGGAGGATGAGACACGGCCACTTGTCCAAGTGGCTCGTTGGAGGCAGAACTGGAGCTCAGGTCTCCTGAGACCCACTTCAGCATTCTTCTCTACTCGCAAAGTGTCTTACAGTTTACAGAACTCTGCCACAAATAGCAACCTCTTAGTGCCTCAGGAGGCCGCAGGACAGGTTTCAGTGTCCATTCTATAGGCAGAGGAAGCAGAAGCTCAGCTGCCTGGCCTCTGAGTCCAGCTGCAGTGAGAGGCAAGCTCGGAGTTTCAGAAGGGACATGAGGCCCCTGGAGGAGAAGTCTCCGGGGAACCAGCAAACTCCCTTCTCCAACCAGTGCCTCTTCTTTGCCCTGATTGACATGTGAAGGAGCACCATGAGAGTCAGAGTTTGGTGGCTAGGAAGATATTTGCAAAGCATCATGGGTCTCTCACTGACTTCATAAACCCTTGAGTCTATAGAGTTCCCAGAGTGCTCACATGCCATGTCACATACGACTTCTCACTGGACACCAAGGACCGGCTCACAGATCGTAACCCCACCACTACACTAAAGGCTCTTGCTTTCTCCCTTCTCTGTTCTCTGACAGTTGATAGGAGAGGGACTCACCTGGGACCCAGGCAAACGGGTGGGTGACATTGGTGGTGACCTGCACAGAAATGAGAAAAGGTCACTTTGGACTCCTTGATCACTGTCAAAACATGTTTCCCAACACTCAACCCAGCTTCAACTCTCCAACTCTCTCACTCATGTTTCATTCATTCCCAGAAGGCATGTTGTTAATATGTACTAGGCATTCTGCTGGGCACTTCCTATCCATGGTTGTAATGGATTGCTCAGCTACCTTATGACAGTAGGCTGTAATGATTAAAGGAACTGAGGTGTGTTCTAGGCCAGCTGTGTCTGTGCATGGTAGGCATCACCACTGTAGAATCAAGGCTATGATTTCTGAGCTGCAGGCAGAGTGATAGACATTCCAGAGCTTAACTAGAGTGCCCAGAGCTCCAGAGTCAGTGTGGTGAAGCCAGGACTTGAAACCACAGCTGGTGTCATCACTGCTGTGACAGAGGTAAGTAAATAGTGGGGGAAGATGAGAAGAAAATAGAGGGTAAAGAGGTGCTTGCATGTAGCTGGGGCTACGAGGACACAGAATGAAAGCTTCAGTCTAGAAGCACAGCTTGTGGTGCTCCAGAGGGGAAATAGGCCACTGAGATACAGTATTTGGGGACAGTTAGGTTTGCAGGTTGAAGGGGCAGAGGACTGGCGGAGGATGAGGGAGATCCCACTTCTACAGCGGTTTCTTGGTGAAATGGGTGTTGGGTGCACAGAGGAATCCTTCCCAGGGAAGAGAGTCAGATAGATGTCTCCTTCCCCATGAATCAAGTGGTCCGAGGCTATTTACGGCTGTGCCTCTGTTTCTCCGCAAGCAACTCACAGAGGAGAGACCTTAAGGGCTAAGTTCAATTGGCTCAGAAAGTGCTGGATCCAGAGTGAGCCAGAACTGATTAGATTTCAGGCATGCAAAGCCTGACTGACAGCCAGGACTAACGGCACAATTCTTCCTTAGGGACCTGATCTGTCCTAGATGAGAGGCTGCTTGCACAGTGGCTGCTGATGCTCTCACTTCCTGAATGGTCACTGTCATCTCTCCAAGTAAAATCTGACAGATGCTCCATCCTTCTTCCTCTCCTCCCTCATGGGACATTGGCCCGGGCCCCAGTGGCTGCCAGTCCCACTGGCCCATACCCTTACCCTTCTCCCTGCTGGGAAGGCCCACTCACCTGGCCAGCCTGAGAGTCACCTGGGAAGAGAAAGGTGAGAGCATGAACTCCCCGGAGAGAGGCAGTGGGTCCTGCCCTCCACCCATGGCCTGGCTCCTCAGAGTCTGCACCCTGACTGTGTCCCCAGCAGGTGAACAGTGAAGAGTTTTGCTCTTCTTACTGCTCCCTGTCCCCAGCCTCTCACTTGATGAAAATAAGGCTCCTCCTTCTGCTTTTAGTCCTCCAATCACAGAAATCCCACTGCTCTGGGTCAGTCTGCCTCATCAGTTCTGTAACCCACCTTCTTGCAAGGGCACGTAAAGCCAGGACAGGGGACCGAAAGCCTACAGACTCCCAGGATCCACCTGCCAGCTCTTCAGGCCTTGCAGTGAGCAGCATCCTGGGAGGCCTGACCAGCTGGGGCAAGGCTGCTGCTAACCTCTCACAATCCCACAAGCATCCTCCTTGGACACGAGCACCTCTTTACCCCATATGGGAGAGGAAGGGGGCGAGGCCTTCTTCTTGTGCCAGGCCAACTGCTGCTCCAGCTGTCCTTCCTAATGGCCCTGCTTGGGGTCCTACGACCAAACACACCATGCCTCTGTGATCTCAGAGGACCGCTCAGTCTCCCCCAGCCTATATACCCTTGTCAGGGATGGTCTCAGCCTCCAGCCAGGTGTTGGTGACCGCCTGCAGTGGCTGCCTCTCTTCCAGCACAGGCAGAGCCCCACTGCTTTTCTGTGCCTGCTCCCTCGAGGGCCTGGCCAGTTCCTCCTCCTCAGCTTTCCTCATGGACAGACGGATGTCTGAGCTGGAGTAGGTGTAGCCATGGCCAGCAGGACAGATCTCCCCGAAGGCCTCTGCAAAGCCAACAACCAGAGAACAAGCTGAGCGATGACGTTCCTGCAGGAAAACAGAGTCCCCTTTCCCTCCTCCTAGGGGACAAAACAATTATAGCAACAATGAGGACATGAGCCCCAGTTTGAGCTAAGTTCTTAAGCAGTGAGGGAAGACTAGAGTTTCTGGCTTAAGGGGGTTCTACCCGGCTGGTGAACATGGCCACTGGCTTTGAGGTAGACTTTTGATGACCAGGGTTGGGATGGGGGTAGGCAGTTACCTGTGCCAGGCAAGGGGCATTTCTCACACTTGCTGCCCCATGCCTTGCCTACACGGCTGCAGCAGCATATCTGCTTGGTGATCTTCTGGGCCAAAGGCAGGGTACAGGTGCCAGACCCCAGTGACCGGTAGCACAGTCCCTGCTGCATGGAGACAGCCTTGTCCGCTGTAATAGATATATTATATGGGGAGGGGCCTATGGCCAGCCCAGCAGGAGGGGATATACAGAGAGGGTCACGGATGGAGGTACGGTTGGCTGCATGTGCTTAGACTTGCCTGGTCCATGTCTTAATCTAGAAGCTTGGGACCCTGAGAACAGTCACAAGAGCTTTAGGGGTAATGGCCACAGTGGAATACAGCAATGCCAGCAAGACAAAGAAAACGTAGGATTTGGCCTACGTTTTTGTAGAAGCTATGAATCCACCACAGGAAACAGAGCAAGAGTCATCCTGAGGACGCTGTGGCTGCCTGCATGCCTGTTTGGATCAATTCATTAGCTGTTGCTTGGGGCACTTTGGGTTGGGTTTTTGCAACTTTTGACCCACAGCCTCCTTCACAAGGCTGAGGAGATTAAATGCAGAGAAACAAGCGAGAGTGCCTTGTCAGAGGTCCCTGTGCTAGCATAGGTGACATCAGCAGATCCCTGAGCCCTGGATCATCAGGTGTGATCCCTGTCTCTAGAACCACTTTCTTCAGGACGCTGCAGGGAAGCGCTTTGTCCCATTGAATCCCAGGATGGAGACCACCCAGGTGGGACAGTCAGGAAGCTCCACCAGCCCCACAGACTGCTCTACTGTCCTGGTCAGGTGGCAGGGAAAGAGGAAACCCTTGGAACATGCCTGTCCTCTCTCCTGCAGAGATGAATCATTGGAGGAGGCTGGAGAGAGTAACAGTGGGGAGGCGGGGACAATAGAGAACACCCAGAGTCATCGAAGCATCTTTGTATTCAGGGTCTCTTCCAGAATCCAATAAGTAAAACTCACTTAGGGTATTGAACACACCTGCTTGATAAAGGAATCTTAAGTGACATGGAGGAGAAGGAAGGGGTAGTAAGGCCCCTAATCATTTGATTACAAGCCACTGTGGCCAGGAGTTTCTTGATCATGGTCTGGTGTGTGGTCTTCCTTCTGGGCCTCCTCACTGTCTGGGCCCTAAGGCTCCTACTGTGTCCTCTCCCTGGCTGACACTAGATTCAGTCTCCCTGGCCCTGAGGCCCGTCCTCTGGGTGGCACCACAGTCTTCTTCCTCCCATAGCTTTGCCAGACCCAGTACCAGGCAGTTTGTAGACCCAGCGAGGGCTTGGCCCACTACAGGGACTCTGCTGAACTGGAGGTGCAATGCACCAGAGGCCAGTCAGGCTGGTTTTGTTCAGCTCTGGTCAGATCTTCCTGCCCAAGGAAAGTCCCATCTGGGCTATGGCATCAGCTCTGCCATCTGGAGCTGCCAGCCTGGCTCTCACCCAGCTGGAAACCACAAAGGTCACTGGAAACAGCTGCTGGGTGCACATGCCACCCACACTTCTCCAGTGCTAATGCTCATGATTGTGGGCAGGGAGACACACTCAGAAGGGACTGTGGGATTATAGAAAAGTCCTAGGATAAGGTAGCAATGCCACTGAGCTATGAATGTCCCTTCAGGAAAGGGCAGCCAGGGCGCAGGCCCACACTACATCAAAGCAACACACACACCCGTCCCCAGATCAACAGGGCAACAAGTGGGCAGAAACAGTCAGAGGGGAGGGGAAAAAGGGCTGAGGATGTAGCTCAGGGGTGGAGTGCTTGCCTAGCATGCGCAAGGCTCTGATTTCAATCCCCACAACACACACACACACACACACACACACACACACCAAACAAACAAACAAACAAACAAACAAACCAACCAGAGAAGATACGAAACACGGACCCTAACTGCCAAGCCCCAGAAGGAAAACCTGGAGTAGGAAAGGAGGCAGCAACTGCTGTTCCAGCAGGAAGAGCAGATCAGTTTGGACACTAGCCCAACTCCAGGTTGAGCAGGTTCATGCCCACAATCATGAGCATTAGCACTGGAGGAGTGTGGGTGGCATGTGCACCCCAGCAGCTGGAGCTGCTCTGGAGCCGGCCTGGCCCCTGGAAGGTGTCACCACACGTGGTCCCCGTCAGCACTCACATACACAGCGGCTCCGAGAGGGATCCAGCATCAGGCCCGGTCTGCACGTGCACAGGTAGCTGCCTCTGGTGTTCACACACTCCAAGTCCTTGCACAAGCGCGAGATCACGCACTCGTTGATATCTACAGGGGCAGAGGAGACAATCAGGTGCCTGCCCCACCGAGGTCCTAGGGCAGGAAGGGACTGTGCAGGGGACCTATGAAAGTCTTTTCCAAAGAAAATGACAAGAAAGAGAGAGAGCTGCTGTTTAGTAACTTTACTCCTTTTCTTGGTGCTTCTGTTTCCTCATTTTCAAGACAGGAATAAAGATAATAAATGAGAAAAATTGCAAACTACTTGATCCCATGACTGGCATATAACAATGACCCTAAGAGTAAGAGGTAAGGTTCCTGTCATGTGGTGCATATTTAACATAGTGCTGGGTATTTACCATGATACCTATTTAATTGTCACAATTTTAGCAAGTAGGTCCAGTTATCCTGATTTTATAGAAGAAAAAACGGAGGCTCCAGGAGTAACTTGCGAAAGTCACTTAGCTCTGGTGACTCTGACAAACAGTATGCAAACAGAAGAAATGGCCAAAGGCGACTGTCTGGGTTGGAGGGTGCTGAATGGGCAGCCAAGTTCCTTCTATTAGCTTTCTTCAAGAGGCTCCTGAGCGCCTCTGCAGGGACCAAGACCCGGGGAGCAGGTCTGCAGGGACGGGAAGCAGAGGTGGGGGCAGTGCAGGGGAAGGAAGGAATTGGGTCAGCAAGGTGGGCTGGGAGGGCAGGGTGGGCTCAGACAAGCAGTGCACACCCTCAAACCCAGTGGAGGCAAAAACAGAGATCTCCCCGCACTCACTGTTTCCCTGGTCCTCACCCACAGAGTCTGACCTGGCTAGTCTTGGCCAAAGGCCCGCCCTTTTCCCTGGTCCAAGCAACTTTTCTTATCCACAGGTGCAAAATCCCTTCAGTGGCCTCGCACTCCACGGGTAGCGGGGCAGCCACACAGGCATCCTCAGGCTCTTCTCTTCTGAAGGAACACCCCGGGGAGGGTGCCAGGAGGCGATCTGGGGCAATACCTTGGCCATGCCAAGCCAACTTCTTCCAAAGCAAGTCATGCAGACACCTGTCCGTTGACTCGTCAAAGCTCTCAGAAAGGAAGCTGTCTCAGCTCCTTGCTGGCCCTGCTGGCTCCAGAACCCACTTACACAGGACGCCTCTGACCATATCATAGGCCCTCAGGACATGAGGGCTCCTCATCTGCTCAGTGACAGCAGCTGTCCTTCAGTGAACTGGTTCTATCTGCAGTCTCCTCTTAACCATGTCACTATGATGACAAAACCATCACCAAGTTCTTTTGCTTGCTTCCCTCTGCCCCAAGATGTCCTGGCCCTCGCTCCTCTGTGGCCTCTCTAGTGCAGACCATCCTAACTTTAGTTGGTCCACAGAACCATTAGCCAGGTCAGCGAGGCCAGGACAGGGGCTGGGCTTCATGGAACCCTATCCTCATCACCTGCACCCCACTGCTTAACCCTGTCTAGCTGTGGGTTGAGGCAGGTGGGAGGAGGGCACAGCAGCTACTCTGTCCATACTAGCTCAGGCTGACTTGATCTCCTGTCTTGGTAGAAACCCCTCCCACTTCAGGGAGACCAGATCTGCCTTGTAGGTGAGCAGAGTGAGGAAGAGGTGGCACATTCGAGCACAGTACAGCACTAAGAAGCACTTAGCCGTGCTCTGAGTGGGGATAGGGGAAGATGGGGAGAAAGGGAGACTTGACTCCATCACTCTCAAACAAGTCCCCAAGTTCCTTAGTCCCTGGAGCCAGCATCTCTGACAGTTCCCCAATGCTGGGGCTCAGAGTTGCCCAGTGGAGGCCTCCAGGCAGTGACAGATGTTCCTCTTTTCTGAGGGTGGTGGAGGTCTCTTCATGTCCCCTTCCCAAGTCCAGCTCTGCCGGGTAGTCTTTACCTTGGCAGTGAGTGACATTCAGTCTGTAGTATCCCAGGGGACAGTCCAGCTGGCCATCTTTAGTCATCAGGGAAGCTGAGGAGTGAAGATACAGACAAGTCTCACTGGAGGACCCTTGGGCTTCTGTGGTACCCATGCTGGAAAGTGGGGCTGCAATGTGAATATCCAACCCACTTAGCACTCTAAGCCTCCTGTCCCCCAAGCCATCACCCTGGGCAGCTGCACCACCTGGCCTTCAGCAGGCTCCTCTCAGTTCACCCAGCTTTTATTATAAATGATACAGAGCACAGTAAGTTAGAAACGGAAAGACAAATGCAGCATGATCTCACTTCTCTGTGGACTCTGACAAAGTGAATCCATAGAGCAGAGAGTACAGTGGTGACCAGGGCCTGGGGCTGGAGATCGAGGGATCTTGGCCAAAAGATGCAAAGTTCAGTTAGACAGGAGGACTAAGTTCATCGGGTTTTATATAACATGACTATGAGGAGTAATAGTGTATTGTATATTTGAAAATCACTAAGAGGGTAGATTTATAAGTGTACTCACCACAGCCACACACACACACAACTGAAGTAAAAAAACTGAGCTAATTAACTTTCACATTATACACTAGGTAATACACATACTAAATTAGCTTGATTAGCCACTCCATAATGTATTTTCTTTCTTTCTTTCTTCCTTCCTTCCTTCCCTTCTGGTGGTACTGGGATTAAACCCAGGATAGTCACACTGAGCTACATATCTACCCTTCTAAAAATTTTCAACTTTTGAGACAAGGTCTCACTAATTTCAAAGCATCATGTTGTATGCTATAATGATATGCAATTTTTATCAATTAAAACATTTTTAAAGTACTAAAAATCATTTTTTCATCTATTAACTCACATAGTTGAATTTTGTTTAATTTTCACTTGGAGGGCTGGGGATTTAGCTCAGTGGCATAAGCACCTGCCTGGCAAGCATGAGGTTATGAGTTAGAGCCCACGTACAAAAAAAAAATTTTACTTGGAAAGAATTATAGCTATATCTGGTTGGGGATTGATCAGCTAGGAAGTGATTTGCATCAGTATTTTGATACAGATAAACATCTTGTCTCAATTTCACATTATCTGCTTTTATTTCACAGGGGGGAAAAAACCTCAAACAACTAACATTAAATAAGAACAAGGAAAACATTTCCATTACTTTGGAGGAACAGATAAGTGTTTCTGTCTTTCTGGAGAGTTTTTCAGACAGCATCATCATAAAAAGGGAAGCAATTGTGGAACATCATGTTTTTTGTTTTAAAAAAATGGACTGGGGATGTAGCTCATTGGTAGAGGTCTTCCTTAGCATGCATGAAGCCCGGGGCTCAATTCCTAGCACCATAAATAAATAAACGAATAAATAAATAAGAGGCCATATGTGTGTGTGTGTGTGTGTGTGTGTGTGTGTGTGTGTGTGTGTGTGTATTGGAGATGGAACCCCAGGTTTTCTAATTCCAAGACATAGACTGTAGTCCTCAGGGGGCACAAGCAATTTCCAGGCTCTCTTTCACACAAAGTCCCATTAAGATGTCATCAGGCTTGAGGATATGGTTTTGTGAAGTTAGCACAGGATGACTTCCTGTAGCAACCATCTTCTGGCTTCGATTACCTGAGGGCAATAGCTCCTCTCCGGCTGCTGTGGTGAAGGGATCCCTTTCTCCTTACTCCTGTGCCTTTTATTCCAGTACAGTGTCACTGGCTGCACTTCCAGAGTTACTGGCAAAACTTACATTTATCCAAGAAGTCATTTACTGTAGGAATACATCTTCTCAGTTTCTTCTTTAATGGTTTACAAAAGCAGTAGTTCTTCACATGATTTATTGTTGAGATAGACTCTTGCAAATACCAAGAGACATGTTAGAAAACTGTATACTTTAATTCAATTAAACAACCATGTTTGGTGTCTTAGTGTTTATAAATGTCTTTCTAATCACCATAGCTTTTATTCAATCCTCAGCTGCTCTCTCTGGGTACTTCGAGCACTTAAGACTAGGTTTCTTATTAATGATAGCAGGTTTACATCTATATTTCATATAGTTTTCCTGGTTGTATTCTTGGGTACATTTTGGGTCCCATCTGACAGGTTTTCACTATTTTCACCTTGTAACATGACCCATGACATGTTAGAGGTGTGTCATCAGGAGAATTATCAGCATGAGCTTTTCTTGATTGTTTATGATTATGTTATTAATAGTATTTTGAATCTGCAACTCCTTTGCCAGAGTTTTTTAGTTACATCTTTGCTTTGTGAGGGTCAGTTTCGTTAACATCAGACAACATTAATGACAAAGACACGAGGAGGTGCCACAGCCTTCTGGACACTCCCTTTCCCTGAGGACACTGTCACATGCCAAACAGTACATGTGAAAGACAGTCTGACATGCAGACAGACCAAATGGGGCATGTACTAGTAAAGCTTCATATTCTTTGGTATTAAAAAATATAAATTGAAGTCCTAATACTTTTCCTGCCATGACCTGTCTTGCTGCAGGTCTGCACGGTCCAGAGACGAGGCTCTGGCCTAGCAGCCCCTCTTGTGGAGGTGAACGTGGACTCTGAGAATACAGAGGTTGAGACAAGCATTCGTGTCCCTGGCTTGGAGTCTGAACTGAGTGCAGAGAGAAAGGAGGAAAGAGGGGACACTGTCTGAGAGGTTCAGAAAATGGGCTGAATAGATGCAACCCATGTACATTATGAAGAGCAGAAGGAACAATGCAGCGCGGCTGCTCAAAGGCTCAGGAGTGATTGCAAATTAACACTGCACACCATCTCAGACTTGCAAGGCTCTGAGGCATGTTTTCCTGCCTGTTTCCCACAACACTAATTCTTGAAGGCAGCATTCTTTATCTCTGTTGTGCAGCTTAGGCCAGCAAGGTTAAGCGACTTGCCCAGCAACTTAGCTGGAGCTGAATCAGGGTGGATCCAGGCCTCTGGCCACAAAAGTCATCTCCTTTCCACTCCACTCTACTGTACTGCCCCTAGCTAACACACACACACACACACACACACACACACACACACACACACACAAACACACACACAGAGAGGGAGAGAGACAGACAGACAGACAGATAGGACAGAGAGAATCAGGGAGATTAGAATGAGCCAGCAGGCAGGGTGGCATCACCTCTGCAGATGTCAAGAGGCAGCAGAAGTTAGGCAAAAGGTCTTTGCTTCTTCAGTGATGGAAAGAGGAGCGGCAGAGATCTTGGATAGAGGTGGGAGCAAGAGAGGAACCAGCTACTGGCACCTGCAGAAGACTGGGAGAACCAGAAGAATGAATTAAGCTGAGAGCCCACAACTGCATTTCTTAGTCTGGCAATGTGCTTTTTCCTTTTTCTCTTCTTTTTATTTGTACTACTGGGGATCCATTGAACCCAGGGACTTACATCTCACCCTATTTATTTATTTACTTAGAGTCAAGAGCTCCCTAAGTTCCCCGGGCTGGCCTGGAGCTTGCCGTCCTCCTGCCTCACCCTCCCTAGTAGCTGAGGTCACAGCCACGCACCACCACACATGGCAACATCTGGCTTTTCTACAGGGATACCTCCCTTTGGAAGGGGACACTCTGCTCTGCCTGGGCTGAAGAGAAATTGGACAGGCAATGCTTTGTCAAGGCAAGCTTCTAGACAGAAGTAACTGAAAGCCACTCTCTGGTAAATGCCATTTTTGCCAGTAACCTCTTTCTCCAATTAGGGCTGTCAGTGCCTCTCCTCACACCGCCACAAGCAGTCCAAAGGGGCTAGTTTCCAGCTCCTATAACAAGTCTAGCATCCTACTCAGAAAAATCAGCTCAAATCCCCTTTGGGAGAAAGCAAGCAGAAGTGTAGACAGCGCAAGGTCTGGGGTGAGAATTCAGCAGCCGTGAGCTGCGTGATTCACAGTGACAGGGAGGGGGTGGGGCAGGTTCCCCTGGCCTGTGCTCCCAGCATGCATTGGGCCTCCCTGGTCAAAGCGCTTAACATGCTGGGTTGTGACTGTCTGACTGCTTGCCCAGATCCCCACTAACAGATAAGCTATGTGAGGGCAGGGACCTTGTCTTCCTCGTCCTTATGATATCTCCAGTGCCAAGCCCATGTCAGGAGCGGTATAGGCATTCTGTCTGAATAGAAAATAATAGCAAAAATTGAAATTGTTACCAAGGAAAAACTTTTTTAAACCCTGTAGCATCACTTGCTCTAAATTGACTTTAAAATCACTCATTTTAGAGGTCACAGGCTGCTTCCAAGATTTAGCCACTATGAACTGTGCTACTATAAATATGGCTATGCATGTCTAGGACTGATATTTAATATGATATCATCTGTGCTTAAATTTTATATGGTTCCAAACTATGGAAAAGATAAGCACCAAAATAGGCACATGACATTAAAAAATTATGATTAGGTTAAGTGATTAAAAAATATGGCTATGCATATATCATTGTGGTATGATGTCTTTAAACTCTTTTGGGAAAATACTCAGAAGAGGAATAGCTGGGTCTATTTTTAGTTTTTGAAGAATTTCCATGCTTATTTCTATGGAGGTTGTACCAGTTTACACCCTCACCAGCAAGGAAGAAAATGAAGACCACCCCACACACACACACACACCGCACCAAAGCGTCACCAGCACCTGTTGTTATTTCTTGATTGTAGCTTTCTGGAGTGAGATGAAACGTCAGCCCTGTTTTCATTTGCATTTCTCGAATGACCAGTGATATTGAACATTTCTTCATGTATTTCTTCATCACTTGTATTTCTTCATCTGAGAAGTATCTATTCAAATGCCCATTTTTGATTGGGTCTTTAAATTTGGGGGTCTAATTCTTTTGAGTTCTTTATATATTTTAGGTATTAGTCCTTTGTCCGAGGAGTAGCTGGCAAAAAATTTTCCCATTCTGTAGGCTGTCTCTGTTGGTGGTTTCTCTTGTCATAAAGAAGCTTTTTCATTTGATCTGTTTTGTATTATTTCTTGTGCAACGGGGTTGTGTTCAGAAAGTCTTTGCCTATATGTCAAGAGTGTTACCTATTTTGTCTTCCAGCACATTAAGAGTTTCTGTTTTAATGT